TCCAAAGTGCTGGGATTACAGGCGCCTGGCCAACTTTAATAAGTTTTAACCATTATTAACTGTATAGGTTCCAGGTATGACAAGCCACATAATTGTACCTCATATCAATTAGTGACAATCATAGTCACTTTCCTCTAATGTCTTGTTTTGCTCTTGTTGCCTAGGCTGGAGTGTCATAGCGCAGTCTCAGCTCACCGTAACCTCCACTTCCTAGATTCAAGGGATTCTCCTGCCTCAGCCTCCTAAGTAGCTGGGATTACAGGCACGTGCCACCACACCTGGCTAATTTCTGTATTTTTAGTAGAGGCGGGGTTTCACCATGTTAGTCAGGCTGGTCTTGAATTCCCGTCCTCAGGTATTCTATTCACCTCAGCTTCTGAAAGTGCTAGAATTACAGATGTGAGCCACAGCTCCTGGCCAATGTCTTTTTTATTACCCTCTTTAATTCAAATTGCAGCTTTAGAAATGCACGTCCATTTACCATCATGATACACATGCACAACATGTAAAGATGGTAAATGTCATAGAATAAGGTTATAAAATAAATGCTTCCCCTAATGTCCATGGCTTTGTCTTTTCAACATACATTCTCCCAATTATCTTCATAAATACTGTTAAAAAATTTAGCATTTATAAAACTGAAATATGTCTGTTTTTACAAATTTTAAATTTTTTATTCATTAAAAATATAAATATTATGTTTTACAAAAAGCTAGCTTATTTTAAGACCTCTAGGCTGAATAATGAAACATATGAGTCTATGGTTAATCTGTCTTTGAGTTAGGAATAGGTTCTTAAAAATTTGTGAGTCTATATATATTCCTCCCTTTTTTGATTTCTATACTGTCTCCTTTATTACAACCAAAATTTAAGAGCTCTAACTCCCAAATAGATACCGTCATTGAGAAATTCATATCATGGCTCCTTTACCATGGAAAAGACCAGTAAGTGACAATGATTAGGGATGTGTACTAAAAGTAAACACATTTTTATTATACACCTTATGAAAGCAATCAGTCAAAACATGGGAAACATGGAACTAGGGAGGAAAATCAAATGCTGCTGTTGCTTTATGTGTTAAGGCGCCACTTGCTGATCCCCTCGTGCATTCTTACTGATAAACTAGATCTGCCATAGGAGTGGAGCATGGCTTTAATAGGGCTTTGCAGAAGTAAATCCATCAAGAAATAAAATCACATCTTCTACTGCTTTTAATTTGTAGATAGATATTTCTTTTTAAGCAAAGGGCCATGTTCTTTTAGGAGAACTTTTGGCCTTTCTGATGCTTCCTAAATTTGTTGCTCTTATAAGATATCACATGAAGGTTTTAGAACACAAAGACATTATCAGTAGAAACATTTCTATTTAACCTTCATATTCTATTCTACTCAAAACCATATTTAAATACTGCAAATTCCTTGGTGCATTTGTTTCTTAGCTTTTTGTTGCAGCAGGCCTTTGTTTTGAATTATTTCAAAGGTCCATTGAGAATCCACCCCCATGCCTACCCCAGGCAGGATGATCATAATATGTAGTCAGAATTGACTTTAGTGACTCTGAAACAGAATCTGAGTTTGGGTGGCAGGCTTTAACTCTTTTCTTGCTGGATTATAGAGAAATTTGAAGAATTTTGGAGGAGGAATCAGAGTAATGGGATAGGTTTGGAGGGAGAGTTGGAGGCAGCTATTTACCAACTAGTAGGAAAGAAGTTTAATATTTCACCTGTTGGTAGGATCTCCCTGGTGCCACCTTGTCCCATCCCCCTGTTAAGAGGCAGAGTTAATGGGTTTGTGAGAGGTTTGTTCGCTGAAGCTCCTGCCACTGTAGCCCTGTTTTTCTCCCTGTTGAGGTGACCTGCCTTCCTCTTTAGTACGTAACACAGTTGGCAAAGATTACAGCTAACTCAACCCCTTTTCTTTGGGGGCAGGCTTCCTTTTCTCTTTGGCAGATATGACAAAATTACAAAAGAGTAAGTTTGCCAAATTTTTCTTGGTGTGTAGCAGAGCGTGAAGACTGAAAAATATCTTATGAATTAGTTCACTGCCCTTAGATGTACCCATGTTGTCTTGTAAGACTAGAATGGCCCAAGCTTTACACATGCTCCTGGTCTGAGTACATCAAGGTCTTTTATTTACAAATGAAGAAGGCAACATATCATTTATTTTCTTCATTCATTCAAGAAGTATTTACTTAGAGACTTCTGTGAGCCAGACATGGTTCTGGACATACAGCAGTAAGCAAAATAGGAGGGGAAAACCTCCCTGCCCATGTGGTCAACTCTAGTAGGAGCAGACAGTGTTCAAGGCAAATAAGCCAAATATATAGTATGTTAGAGAGCAGTTAAATGCTGATCATAGAAATAAATCTAGGAAGTGGGGATAAATATTGGGACTGAGGGAGGAGTTCATTGAAAAGATGACATTTGACTGGGCATGGTAGCTCATGCTTATAATCCCAGCATGAGCTGGGAGGCCAAGGCAGGCTGATCACTTGAGGTCAGGGGTTCGAGACCAGCCTAGCCAACATGATGAAACCCTGTATCTACTAAAAATACAAAAATTAGCTGGACATCATGGTGCATGCCTGTAATCCCAGCTACATGGGAGACTGAGGCATGAGAATAGCTTGAACTCTGGAGGTGGAGGCTGCAGCGAGCTGAGATTATGCCACTGTACTCCAGCCTGGGCAACAGAGTGAGACTCTGTCTCAAAAAGAAAACTAACTAAATAAAGACTTTTGAGAAATGGCCTGAAGAAAATGAAGGGACATTGAGTTATCAGAAGGAAAAGCATTCCAGGAGCAGAGAGCAGTAAGGGTGACTACACCATGATGGAAGAACTCTGCTGGGCATTTGAAGAGCAGCAAAGAGGCCAATTGTGGCTGGAGAGTGGAGTGAGCCACTCCATTACCAAAGGAGGAGGCCAGAGAGAGCTAGGCACCAGGTGGTTAATGAATTTATACAGGGAATTATTAGTGGGTTTTGACCAAAGTTACCTAATCTGGTTTACATTTTAATAGGATCTTTTTTATTATCTTACTTAAAGATAGCAGATTCTTTTGGCTGCTATGATGAAGGACTATAGGGAAATAATGTGGAGACCAAGTCTAATTAGGTACTTCCTAATGATGATTCAAATCACATGGTAGCAGTTAAGCTGGATGCTGGATGTCCTCTAAGGGAAGGGACAAAAGGATTGACTCAGTGTGAGAGGTGACAGATAGAAGAAAACGGCGAACGGAAGGCTGACTTGTTCTTTACAGGAATACTGTGAGAATAGGATGTGGCAGAGGGATAAAGAGGAATTATCATGATCTCAGTTTTAGACATGCTAAATTGAGGCAGCTTTAGACATTAGGAGGAGATCAGAACAGAGATACAAGATAGACACAGATCTAGAATTTATCAGCATGCAAATAATACTTAAAAACCAGAGAATAGATGAGATCCTCAGGAGAGGAGCAGAGATACTAAATGGAATGTGTTCACAGACCACATCCTGGGCCACAGTAGTATTGATCAGGAGTTAAAGAGAAGTAGACACAGAAAACTGAGTAACCAGAGAGTACAGATCTGTAAAGAGTAAGAAATGTGGTTTCCTGGAAGAAAAGAATGTATTTTAAGAGGGTGGTCAGCTTTGTTTAATGTTGCTAATAGGTCACATAAATGAGTTCTGAGAAGTGGCCACTGATTTATTCATAGTCAAGGTCTTTGGTGACTTTGATAGGAATAGTTTAAATGGATGTAAGCCTGGGAAAAGTATCATTGAAAGGGTTCAAATGGGACATGAGAAATTGGAGACACAAACTATGAACAACTTGATTGATTGATTGATTGATTGGGATGGAGTTTCACTGTTGTCACCCAGGCTGGAGTGCAATGGCATGATCTTGGCTCACTGCAACCTCTGCGTCTGGGATTCAAGCTATTCTCCTGCCTCAGCTTCCCAAGTAGCTGGGATTACAGGTGTGAGCCACCACACCTGGCTAATTTTTAAAAATTTTAGTTTGAGACCAAATTGGCCAGGCTGGTCTCAAACTCCTCACCTCAGGTGATTTGTCCACCTTGGCCTCCAAAAGTGCTGGGATTGTGGGCATGAGCCACCGTGTCTGGCCCTGAACAATTCTTTTAAATTCTTGTTATTGTTGTTGTTGTTGTTCTTCCTTCTTCCTTCTTCCTTCTTCCTTCCTCCTCCTCCTCCTCTTCTTCTTCTTCTTTTTCTTCTTCTTCTCCCTCCTCCTCCTTCCTCCTTCCCCCTTCCTCCTCCTTCCTTCCTTCCTTCTTTTTTCTTTCTCTTTCTTCTTTCTTCCTCCTTCTTCTTCATCTCTTCTTCCTTCTTTCTTTCTTCCTTGTTCTCTTCTTCTTCTTCTTCTTCTTCCTTCTTCCTTCTTCCTTCTTCCTTCTTCTTCTTCTTCTTTTTTTTGGTAAAGGAAAAGAGCAAAGATGGCATGGCCATTGGTCAGGAGGCACTGGCCCTGCTGAAGGAGGATGTCTTAGGGTCTGCCAACAGTCACGGGCTAGGAGTGTAAGCAGTAGCTGTTAGCGGTAGGTGACCTCGAAGGACCTTGCCTCAGGTAGACATATTGATGTTCACAGTGTTTCTCACTGATATACTGCAGCTGAAAAGAGGTAGATTTAATCAAGCCAGCTATCACTGTACAAATAGTGTTCCCTTTTTCATCCCTTTTAATTTCTTCAGATTTTTCTTTAGAAGTTTTTAACTCTGTTACTTCTGAGTCCTCTACATTACATTAGTTGTTTGCATGGCAGTATCGCATTCTAGCCTAAGTTCTTGAAAAAGGCCATATTTTATTTTATTTTTTAACATATCTATTCCATAGCCCAGCTTCTCCGTGTGGCAGATGCTTCATAAATGTTTTTAAAGAATGACTATTATCTTCCATTTGAGTATATCCTATGTTTGACATAAAGTTCAGTGTCTTCCTAAAGTTTGCTATTAATTTCTAAATACAGGATTCTGTTTGGCCATTTTGTTTTCCAGAGTCCCTGTGAAGAAGGCAGAGTGAGGGCAGGATCACTGCAGCTCAGCAGCACATCTGCAGGGAATTCATCTTTGAGAAGGACAAAGCGAAAAGCACCTTCCCCACCCTCCAAAATATCCCTGCATCAGAGTGATGAAAATAGTCATGTATCTGGTAATGTGATTTTTTCATTAACATTACATTTGTATTGTGTTTTGTTTATGGACAGTGGGAAAGATATGGATTATACATTATGCTTTTTAAATAATACTTAGGCTTTTAAAGTGTATCTTGATTAGTCTCACTTAACTGCCTTTTAAAAGTCTGAAACATCACACAATAAAGTGTCAAAATTATACAACTCCATTATCCTAAAATGAACATGTCATAATTTGTGAATTTATTCAGAAAGGTGCTGCCATTTCAGGATTAGCTGCATGTAGGAAAGGGAATCTAAGTGGATTTTAGTTGTTTCATAGCTAGATAGTAAAATGGCTTCTAACAAGGCTCACTACTTTCTGAACTTACAAAAATAAGTTAAACTGTTAAGGAATTGTTTTATTTGTGAATATGACTTTATAAGTTGTGTTGCTTCTTTCCTTTAGCCTTACAGCCAGAAGGTGGGGTTCCTTCAGACAGTGTTTCAGAAGCAAACTCTCCTGTGGAGCTATCCAGCCCAGGTATGACACCCTTATTCCACATGGTATAATTACTGAAAAAGGGCTTCCATGATTATTGAGAAACAAATCCAGTCGTGATGCTTTGTACATGAAAGAGATACAGATTCTTTGGCCTCATTTCCCAAATTTTACATTATAAAATGAATTCTTGCCCCCACCTTTCTGCCCCTCAGCCCAATTAGAGTATGAAGGTGGCAGAGATCAAAATTTCAGTTCTGGAATTGTCCTTCAGCACTTTCTCTGTGTGGTCTCCTGTTTTTCCTTATGCACTATCAGGTTAACATTTATTAACCTCCTTCCCAAGTGTATTGACACACCATAATTAGGAATGTATCTTGATGTGTGCAAAAGGAAACTTACATGAAAGTATAAGCACAATTTCCTTATGCAGCTCTTCTAGGTATGAACTCAACATACAAGTATCCTACTCTAACGGTAAAAGTTTGTTGCCACCAGAATGTTTTCTGTTGTAGTATATGGCTCTTCTTGTGGATTCTCCCCAAATGAAATTCCATTAAAAGTAACATAATTTGTTCTAATATTTTTCCAGTGTTTTTGATAATACTAAGTAGCTTTATGAGTATGATAAAAATGTTTTTATCTTTAGAGTTACTATTAGGCATCAATGAATGTGAAAGACTAGTAATGTCATACTAAACATTGAGTATGATTACGTTAGGACTTTATTATGGGGATAATTTTGTAAGTATGGAAAATGCTTGATATAACTCGCCTAATTTTTATAATTTATATTCCAAATACTGGAAACATTTAGGAGCAACACTCTTGAATCTTGAATCTTTAAGGGGTATTTAGAAATCTGGAATTTTAACATATATGTATATATAAGAATTCTTCATTCCTCTATGATTTTAAATCTTATCCTCAGATAACTGGTAATGACTTTTCTCAGCTTTTACTCAGAATAATATAAATGGTACCATTTTGTTCCGGAAAGGAAATTTATTGGATAATGTTAACAATTACAACTGTTTTGTAAAATTGGAAGTCACTGAAGTATTAGTAAAAGGTGTGCATGCTATTCAAACTTTGTTTCATATCTGCTTTCTTCATTTGTTTCCATTTTATGTTCTTATTTAATGCATGGATAATTGTGAGCTAACAAATCTGATTTCTTCCAAAATGCTTCTTGGTCTCTGCTTGCCTTAATTCTGTTGTCTAAGTGCCATTTCCACAGATTCCACTTCTTTGGCAGAAACCTCCTTTGGCCCTGGGCTCTCCAGTCAGGAGCAGTGCACTGCGTCCAACCTGATGGAGGAAACCTCTGTCTTTGAGTGCCCTGGAACACCTGAGGCAGCCATAACATCACTGACATGTAGGTGGTCAGGACTTTCTCGGGTGGTGCTTTGTGTCAAGCAGATTAAGATATCATCAATTGTAAATTTGATTACTTACTGAAACCTTGTATAAACATATCTTACAAAGAAAGAGAAGTTTCCCCTTTTTCACTGAAAATTTTATCTGGGTTTGGAGTTTGTTGTTTTTCCCAACCATACAGATGAATACAACAGAGTGGATTAGTTAAATAAAATCAGTGGTTCTGAAGAATTTTAGCTTCTCTTCTATTTATCTTATATATACTGAGGGGGTCACTTAAAAAACACAGTTGAGACTGGGCATGGTGGCTCACACTTGTAACCCAGCTACTCATGAGGCTGAGGTGGGAGGATTGCTTGTCTCCTGAATTTTGAGACAGCAGTGAGCTATGATTATGCCACTGCATTCCAGCCTGAGTGACAAAGCAAGACCCTGTAATAAAAGTAAAAATAAAAAACACATTTGTATCTAAACCATCATGACCTTTCATTTTTCTCAAAACAGAATTTTCGAATTATATAAATACATTCGTAACTTATAAATACAATATGCTATTTTAGACACATTATATTATACATGGGTATCATAATGACTATTTCATGTCATTATAAAGAGTCATTTGCCAAAATATGTACATTTGAAAATTTACTTAAACCCAAATTTTAAGATATTTTTTATTGAGTAATCTATTTTTATTCATGACAAAAAATACCTTGAAATTTGCCATACCAATTTCTCAAAGAGCACAAATGGCACAGTTTTCTGTCTAAATGCCTAGAGATAAAATTTTAAAAATATATTTTAAGTACTTTAAATATTCAATTATGTTAAAATTTTAAATTTTGTGGATGTGCTGATTACTATAATCTGATGCTATATCACCTCCTCACCCTGCCCCTCCCCCACCCCAGCCTTATGATAAAATTAAATTTCATTCAGATACTATGGTATACATGAAAATGTTTAATTACATTTAGCAAAAGTTTAAAACCTCACTCTTTGGCTTGCATTTACTTTCACTGCTAATCTTGTCAATAAGCATGAACATTAACTGCTAGGGATGCCTCCTTCTCTTTTACCCTGCTGGCTATTGGTTGTTGGTGAACATATTTTTTATATAATGAAATATTAACTACAGCTATAGAAAATATTTATATATACACACATACGTATTAATATGGATGATATTTAAGATATTGCAAGTGTAGAAAAAATCTAGGTGGCTACAGTATGCTTCCATTTATATTAAGTAAACTATCAAAAAAAAACTAACAAAAGAAAAGGAAACATGGATATGGTTATCAGCATATGCATGTATATTACACTTTCTCAGAACATACAGGAAAAACCATTAAAGCAAGGTGCCTCTGAGAATCAAACTGGGTAGGAATAAAACTTAATTTTCACTGTCTAATACTTGCTCTATTTGTATTTTTAAAAATTATATTAAGCATGTAGGTCAGTGGCTTTCAACTCTGATTTCATAGTAGAATCATCTAAGTAGCCTTAAAAGTCCCTTGCCCCACCCTTCAGATATTCTGATTTTGTGGAATAGGATGTGAGGCACAGTTTTTTTTTAAAGGGGGCTCAAGTAATTATCAAGTATAGTTGGTGCTAAGAAATATTGAGTCAAATTTTATGGGTGCCCTTGTAGACAATACAGAAATCTCATGTGCTTTTCATTTTTGCTTTTAAAATTATTAATTTGCATCTAATTTCACTATTTAGTTGTTGGATGAGTGTAAAAATCATCCAGTGGAAAGATATTTCTTTTTTTTTTTTTTTAATTGCATTTTAGGTTTTGGGGTACATGTGAAGAACATGCAAGATAGTTGCATAGGTACACATGTGGCAGTGTGATTTGCTCCCTTCCTCCCCTTCACCTATATCTGGCATTTCTCCCCATGCTATCTCTCCCCTCTCCCCATGCTATCTCTCCCCACCCCCCGTCCCTCCCTTATTCCCCTCAACAGACCCCAGTGTGTAGAGCTCTCCTCCCTGTGTCCATGTGTTCTCCTTGGTCAACACCCACCTATGAGTGAGAACATGCGGTATTTCATTTTCTATTCTTGTGTCAGTTTGATGAGAATGATGTTCTCCAGGTTCATCCATGTTCCTACAAAGGACACAAACTCATCGTTTTTGATGGCTGCATAATATTCCATGGTGTATATGTGCCACATTTTCCCTGTCCAGTCTATCATTGATGGGCATTTGTGTTGGTTCCAGGTCTTTGTTATTGTAAACAAAGTGCTGCAGTGAACATTCGTGTGCATGTGTCCTTATAGTAGAACAATTTATAATCCTCTGGATATATACCCAGTAATGGGATTGCTGGGTCAAATGGAATTTCTATTTCTAAGGCCTTGCGGAATCGCCATGCCACACTGTCTTCCACAATGGTTGGACTAATTTACACTCCCACCAACAGTGTAAAAGTGTTCCTTTTTCTCCACATCCTCTCCAGCATCTGTTGTCTCCAGATTTTTTAATGATCGCCATTTTAACTGGTATGAGATGGTATCTCAATGTAGTTTTGATTTGCATTTCTCTAATAACTAGTGATGATGAGCATTTTTTCATATGTTTGTTGGCCTCATGTATGTCTTCTTTTGTAAAGTGTCTGTTCATATCCTTTGCCCACTTTTGAATGGGCTTGTTTGTTTTTTTCCTGTAAATCTGTTTGAGTTCTTTGTAAATTCTGGATATCAGCCCATTGTCAGATGGGTAAACTACAAAAATTTTTTCCCATTCTTCTGGTTGCCGATTCACTCTAATGACTGTTTCTTTTGCCATGCAGAAGCTGTGGAGTTTGATTAGGTCTAATTTGTCTATTTTGGCTTTTGTTGCCAATGCTTTTGGTGTTTTGGTCATGAAGTCCTTGCCTACTCCTATGTCCTGAATGGTTTTGCCTAGATTTTCTTCTAGGGTTTTTATTGTGTTAGGTCTTATGTTTAAGTCTTTAATCCATCTGGAGTTAATTTTAGTGTAAGGTGTCAGGAAGGGGTCCAGTTTCTGCTTTCTGCATATAGCTAGCCAGTTTTCTCAGTACCATTATTAAACAGGGAATCCTTTCCCCATTGCTTGTTTTTGTCAGGTTTATCAAAGATCAGATGGTTGTAGATATGTTGTGTTGCCTCCGAGGCCTCTGTTCTGTTTCATTGGTGTATATCTCTGTTTTGGTACCAGTACCATGCTGTTTTGATTACTGTAGCCTTGTAGGATAGTTTGAAGTCTGGTAGTGTGATTCCTCCTGCTGTGTTCTTTTTGCTTAGAATTGACTTGGCTATGCGGGCTCTCTTTTGGTTCCATATAAAGTTTAAGGTGGTTTTTTTCCAGTTCTGTGAAGAAGGTCACTGGTAGCTTGATGGGGATAGCATTGAACTGTATATTACTTGGGGCAATATGGCCATTTTCATGATACTGATTCTTTCTAACTGTGAACATGGAATGTTTCTCCATCTGTTTGTGTCCTCTTTATTTCGTTGAGCAGTGGTTTGTAGTACTCCTTGAAGGGGTCCTTTACCTTCCTTGTTAGTTGTATTCCTAGGTATTTTATTTTTTTTGTAGCAATTTTGACTGGTAGTTCATTCTTGATTTGGCTCTCTTTAAGTCTATTATTGGTGTATAGGACTGCTTGTGATTTTGTATCCTGAGATTTTGCTGAAGTTGCTTATCAGTTTCAGGAGATTTTTGGGCTGAGACAATGGGGTCTTCCAGATATACAATCATGTCATCTGCAAATAGAGACAATTTGGCTTCCTCCTTTTCTATTTGAATACCCTTTATTTCTTTTTCTTGCCTGATTGCTCTGGCTAGAACTTCCAGTACTATATTGAATAGGAGTGGTGAGAGAGGGCATCCTTGTCTAGTGCCGGATTTCAAAGGGAATGCTTCCAGTTTTTGCCCAGTAAGTATGATATTGGCTGTTGATTTGTTGTAAATAGCTTTTATTACTTTGAGATACGTTCCACCAATACCGAGTTTATTGAGGGTTTTTAGCATAAAGGGCTGTTGAATTTTGTCAAATGCCTTCTCTGCGTCAATAGAGATAATCATGCAGTTTTTGGTTTTGGTTCTGTTGATGTGGTGAATTACATTTATAGACTTGCGTATGTTGAACCAGCCTTGCATCCCTGGGATGAATCCTATTGATCATGGTGGATAAGCTTTTTGATGTGCTGTTCCAGTTGGCTTGCCAGTATTGTATTGAAGATTTTTGTGTCTGTGTTCAGATTTCTTAAAGGAAATGTTTAACTTGAAGTTTCTGAGATTAAATAACCTTTTGTTTCTACGATGAATAAAACCTAGAGTGATAGTAAATTGTTTTGAGAATTATGAGTCTGAGATAATCTAGTTTTATGTTAATGTAACTACTCACCAGGAGAAAGAACTTCACTATTATTTTTGAAGCAGAACTTAAAAGAGTCTATCTAGTTATTATTTTTCAAAATCTTTCCTTGCCAGAATTGTATAGGATGAATGAGGCAAATTAATATTTAGGATTATATCTGCATTTCTTTGTAGCTGGAATAAGCTCTGATTATAGCCTTGAAGAGATAGATGAAAAGGAAGAACTGAGTGAAGTGCCTAAAGTAGAAGCTGAAAATATTTGTGTGAAGTCACAAGATATTCCTTTTGTATCTACTGATACAATAAATACACTGAAAAATGACCCTGACTCAGCCCTTGGCAATGATGGTGGAGAGTTCTCACAAAACTCCAAGGAAGAAAAACAAGAAAGTAGAAGCACAAATGGACAGTAAGTAGTCTCTGTGCTGGAGTGTTGGTGGTGGTTTGTTTAACTAATAGTAGTCTTCTGAAATATAGATCTGATATTTTAAACATAAATACAGTCAGCCCTTTGGTTTTGACTTTATCCCTTTTACCATTATGAAAATGTTTATTAATGAAATACTTATTTTCTGGAAATATGTTAAAGAAAATCAAATGTGATAGTTCTAATATCCATGCATCAGATAAACCATGAGAAATAGTCAATTTGTGTGATTAAAAATGGAAAGTTTGTGTTTGTGTATGTTTTGTCTGTTATCTCTGTGACCTAAATGTAATATTTAATTTTCAATTTTTACCAAGTATTCCTGGAGGATTTTCACTGACTGGCATATGAAAACAATTCTGCGTATTAGAGTGTGATGTTAAATCACGAGTATTATCTTTGCAGTTAACTTTATGAAACAGAGAACATACTTTCTACATGATTCTAGAAATGGACAGCTATAATTTATTCCACTTAGGTTTGAAATGCAACACCATGATTAAGGTGAAATCAACCAAGCAAAATAAACCATGTATGTCAGAGGTTTACTATAACTTGCATGAGATTGTCTCCTTATTAAACTTCTATTACCAAAGGGAACAAAAGATCAGTGAGGTCAATCTACATTCTGACTTATGCATTCTGACTTATACAGTTGATCTTCCCGGATACAAAACTAAAATGTTTCATTTAATTTCCTTTTTCTTTAAAAGGCAAATAACTTTTAAAAGTTATTTTTTCAAATAACTTTAAAAAAAAAGTGTCGATTTTACCAAGCTTCTTACATCTTTCTTTTTAATGGGACCACCATATGAAAACAAATGTTTCATAGCAGCATTTCTTCTTAGTTATATTTTTCCTCTGCTGTTGAATTTCTGATGCTTGGCAGAAATAGATAATTATTTCAGTCCATCTGTCTTTGGAAATTATTGCCTGTTTTCTCATTGTATATGTGTGTGTGTGTGTGTGTGTGTGTGTGTGTGTGTGTGTTTCAGTAGTATCAACATATAACATACCGTGTCATATCTTCCAGAGAACCACACAGTGTAGTATATGATACAAGCAATGAAAAGAAGGTAGTTGACAGCCTAAGAAACTTGAAGTCATTGGGCCCAAACCAAGAGAATGGTGAGTTATATAAATTAATAGCCAGCACTTTGTTACGTGCCAAGGACAATACCTAACACTTTTTACATATATTAACTCGTTTAATCTCCTATAACTCACTTAATACCTACCTCATTTGTGAATATTATGGGTACTAATATTTTTAGTCCCATTTTACAGATGATTGTGCCACAGAGATGTTAAATAACTCACCTGACATCTCACAACTAGTAGGATTTAAACTCAGGCAATATTGCTCCAAAGTGTGCTCTTAAGACCGTGTGTACTACTTTTGTGGTTAAAACACAGAGATTATCTAATTTAGACTTTGGATCTTAAAAATGTTTCCTCTGCATATCTATTTGTGATCTTTTTTTTTTTCTGCCTAACTTTCTTGAATGAAACTTTTATGCCTGATTTTCAAGGCCCAAATCGTCTAATGATATAATTTGTTTACCACTGTTTCCCAGTTCCCATCCCCAAATCAACACAGTGTATATTTTCTCATGATGTCATTTGTTTATTTCTATATCGTAAGGCCTATATTCATGCTGTCTTTGCCTGGAAGACAATTTTTCATCTATTTTATCCATCCAGTTTTTATCCAAATCATATCATTTAATTTTTTAAAATTGATTATTAGAAGGTTTGTGGTTCTATATTTATGATTCCTCAACTAAATCAGGCAGTCTTGGATCTGAGAAATTACATTTGATATTTTGCACTACTCATGGCACCAAGCAGAATGCTGAGATACTCATAAAATATTACTTAGTATTGAATTTAAGAAAACAATCCTATGCAAATAGAAAATTCAAGGAGTGCACAAAGGTGTTTTAAGGAGATAAGAAGGAAGTGGCTTATGAATTCTCAGTCTAATCTTTTATGTTAGTATACAGAACTAGGTTAAGATATTCAGAAAACATAGGAATATAGTATTCATATTTGAATAAGACATAGATAATCCCAATGCCATATATAAATATGATTATATATCTATATATTATTTGAATACATATGCTTCTGATTCATTTTCTCCCACATTCAATACCATTGTGAGATATATTGAGAATGTCTAAAAGCAAATAATTTCTTCATTCTCTTCCTAAGTTTTTCACAGCATGTACTATGATGGCAATAGCATTTCTATTGAGAAATTATGATTTAAAAGTCGCTTCTTTCTCTTTAAAACAATAGTCAAGTTGAATCATTTTGCTAAGATTTTTGTTGTCAAATTAGGGCCAGAGTCACAAGTATATATTCATAGTATTTTGATTTGCCCATGGTTTGTTTGGCTAAGACGTTTGTCAACTCTAGTTGTTTTTTTAAAGTAAATACTGTCTATTATTCTTAAAGTAGTTTTATTCTGTTTTCCCTTTTACCTATCCTTATCTAAATCACCGTCTTGTAAGGTTGTCAATGTCAGTGTCAGTTTTTTTATTTTATTTTTTTATTTTTTATTGCATTTTAGGTTTTGGGGTACATGTGCAGAGCATGCAATACAGTTGCATAGGTACACACATGGCAGTGTGTTTTGTTTGCTTTCTCCCCTTCACCCACATTTGGCATTTCTCCCCAGGCTATCCCTCCCCACCTCCCCCTCCCACTGGCCCTCCCCTTTTCCCCCCAATAGACCCCAGTGTTTAGTACTCCCCTCTCTGTGTCCATGTGTTCTCATTTTTCATCACCCGCCTATGAGTGAGAATATGCGGTGTTTCATTTTCTGTTCTTGTGTCAGTTTGCTGAGAATGATGTTGTCCAGATTCATCCATTTCCCTACAAACGACACCTTAGAGAGGAAGAAGAAAGAATATCAGTTGTCAGTTTTGAGTAGAGGGTCGCTATAGTATAAAAGATACCTTCTCCCTCTACTGGTCATCCTTGGAAAATGATCTAGCCATTCATAAGTACTTGGTTAACACCATTGTCAGTTGTATATGAGGATAGATTCTGGGTTTCCAGGACTGCCAATCATTGGAACTAATCATGAAATATTGAGAGGAAATTAAGAGTTAGACAACGGTAAAGTAGGTATAACCCATCAAAAATATGAAAAACAGAGACTTAGCATTCTAAAACCAATAAATTAGGGTTTCAAAAGGGTTTAATTTCAAATAAATGTTTACAAAGATTAACTTTTCCTTTGGAAAATGTGTTGTGTGAACTGGGAAATACATATATTCAGTGGAAAATTAGAAATAAAGAAGGAAATGGATTTAGACTTATTTTCTGCTGCCAGGAACTGTTTCTTAAATGCTTCCATGCTCCTAACAGTGTTCAGAATAGCATTTTCATATATAAACATTGAAAAATGCTTATTAACCAAGTAAATTGAGAGCAGAGGCAGAAATATGCCTCTTCTATAGTTCCTAAGAGCATGAGTCTTTAATCTTGTAAATCAAAAGAGTTAATAATAATTGGTCATTGAGCAAAGAATTCAGCTAGGTAGATGATACATATTCTGATACTCAGTTGCATTTTTATCTGGAAAGAATAAAAATGAGTTGCATTTTAAAATTACATGTTTAATATAGGAATATTACAACACAATATGGAATATTAACTAAATAACTATGTAGTCAGGCAGAGTTTAAAAGTGTGAAGATATTTTAAAAAATTGTTTGTATACAAATTTACCTGATGTGATATTTTTCTTCATGCATATGTCTTTTTCTTTTTCTTTTTTTAAAAGATGAATTATACAGTGTAACTCTTTACATTTCAGGCAGTGTGCTTCATCTCATCCCTATAGGTAAAAATGGGTAATGATAAAACTATAGAGAAACACTTAACATACTTTCACAATTTGACCCCCAAGGCTCACATTTAACTGCGCTGTGCAAATTATTGCCATATCTGAAAAGGCCATTAGGGTTTTGAAGATAAGCACAGTGGTCGTGCAGGAGGCATGATTCTTCAGGGCATTTGAACAGAGGAGCACAGGAATAACTTAATTCAGTACTAGGCAATGTGGTGCAGATGCCAAAGCCCGTGTTTCCTTCTGCATGCCTCCTGCCAGTGCTTTGCCATCATGTTGTTGACTGGAAGCTGTTGTTCTGTTAACCTAGACACTGGTAAATGATTTTTGTTTTCAAGAGGTCTGAATTAGAATCAAGAGGAAAAGTAGTGCAAGGAAGAGGAAGGTTATTTTCTTTACTTTGATTTTGATTCTGACTCTAAGAATAATGATGCCTATTTCCAGCAGAGAAAAATCTAAACCAGTAAGACTGATTTCATGTCATTGAAATCACCCATGTTATAACTAAAAGCAAAGTCTTCTAACAGTCTTCAGCAAGGATACCTAATTAACAAGAGAATCAACTGAGATTCTGTTTTTAATGTAAATCTTGAAGTTAATGTTTTCTATTATAGGCCTTCATTAAAACTGACTACATTTGCTGGGATATTTTTCTTTTTAATGTTAGGTATGAAACTCTAAATATGCTAGGGGCTATAGAAAAGACAGTCAAAATAGAAAACGAGGAAAAAAATACAATTTTTGAATTTGTCCGTTGCTATTTTGTCATTATGAACAATGAAATATTTTTTTACTTCTAAAAAAAAGCACAGCTACCGTTTTTGGAGTATTTATTCTGGTCAATATACTAATTAGCATGCTATCTAAATGATACATATATAATACAACAAACATTTTCACCTTTTTATGTCTGAGCAAAAAGGCTCAAAGTGGTTAATTAACATGTTGTAGCCACACTAGTTCAGCCAAGGGCTCCAAACTTCACTCCGTATGAATTCAAAGTCCCTACTGTTTTCTTTGTATGTTACTACCTGCCTTTATAAACTCAGTGAGTTGAAAATTATCTGTAGAATTTAAACTATTTCATGTTGGATAAAGTAGGCATTAAAAACTTGAAGTTTTCTACTTTTTTCATATATTTAACTTGATCTTTTTTTTCTCTCAGTAGTTCAAAATGAAATAATTGTCTTTCCAAAGAACACAGAAGACAATATGAAAAATGAAGTGAAGAAAACAGAAATCAACGTAGGAGGTGTTGCCAAAAATAACGACATCGATATGGAAGTTGAGAGACCATCAAACTCTCAGGCACATGAAACTGATACTTCTATAAGTTACAAGGAAAACCATCTAGCAGCTTCATTAGTACCAGATCAAAAACTGAATCAACCCAGTGCAGAAAAGACAAAAATGCAAGATGTAGCAATTCAAACAACCCCTTCTTGTAACAGTTTTGATGGGAAACACCAAGATCATAATTTGTCTGACTTCAAAGTTGAAGAAAGTGTGCAAACTTCAAATAACGTATCAACTCAACACTCATTCTTAAGCTCACAAGATTCTGTAGATCACTCAAAGGAATTCAGGAGCCAAGGCACCCTAACTATACATTCAGAAGATCTGTTTACCACAAAAGATCCAATTTTTGCACATAGTAATGATGATCTTTTGCCTTCTATTGATAGGATTGATAAAAATTCAACTGCTTCTTACCTAAAGAATTATCCACTTTATAGACAGGACTACAATCCCAAGCCAAAACCTTCAAATGAAATTACACGAGAGTATATACCCAAAATTGGAATGACTACTTATAAAGTAGTGCCTCCCAAATCCTTGGAAATACTGAAAGACTGGCAATCAGAGACCATAGGGTATAAAGATGATCAGGACATACATACTTTAGGGAAAAAGCACACTCATGAGAATGTGAAAGAAACTGCCATCCAAACAGAAGATTCTGCTATTTCTGAAGGCCCGAAAGGGCCACTGCCAGACCTTAAACCAAAGCCAAACCTGAGAACAGAGCATCAGGTACACGGTTCTGTGAGCTCACCTGTTAGTGCCATGGTTAGTCCTCTGAAACCTTCTCCCAAAATGACAAGAGACACTGGCACTGCTCCTTTCGCACCAAATTTGGAAGACATAAACAATATTTTGGAATCAAAATTTAAATCTCGAGCTTCAAATCCCCAGGCCAAACCCAGTTCCTTTTTCTTGCAGATGCAGAAGAGAGTATTGGGTCACTATGTGACCTCTGCAGCTGCCAAGAGCGTCCATGCTGCCCCTAATCCTGCTCCAAGAGAACTGACAAATAAAGAGGCAGAAAAGAATACACTGCCTTCTCCAGAGCAAACTCTTTCTCCATTAAGTAAAACGGCTCACTCTGTTCCACAGCCCCTTGTTGAAAAAACTGATGATGATGTCATCGGTCAGAAGCCTGATGAAGCCTCTCCTCCTCCCATAGCTCCGAAACCTGTGACAATTCCTGCTAGTCAGGTATCCGCACAAAATCTGAAGACTCTGAAAACTTTTGGTGCCCCACGACCATACTCAAGTTCTGGTCCTTCACCATTTGCTCTCGCTGTAGTGAAAAGGTCACAGTCTTTCAGTAAAGAACGTACTGAGTCATCTAGTGCTGGTGCATCGGTTCAACCTCCAGCCAACACAGAGGAAGGGAAGACTCATCCTGTAAATAAATTCGTGGACATCCCACAACTTGGTGTGATGGATAAGGTAAATGTAACCTTTTAAAATATAAGTATTCAAATTTAACAACATGGTTTAATGGGAGTTAACAAGTGTGTTGATATGTTTGTGTGTTACTTAACTCCGAACTCATATTAATCTGAAATTAAGCTATTGTAGTGAAGAGAGTGGCAATACATAAAATCTGATATTCACTCACAGTTATAATTTATGTGACTTGTTGAGATACTACTCTAAGGTCATCATTATATAATAGTGTCATTAGCAAATGATTTAAAGTTTCTTTGCTCATCCATTGCTATGATATACTTACTAGTTCTATTTTTGTGTGTTATCTTAATTTGTTTTTAACTTGTCTAAGTCCTCTGGTTTATTCTCCAGTTTTACATTACTATATAATAGCAAGAGAAATAGTCTTAATGAAATGGAAGGATAACAGTATCAGAGACTAGATAAAATAACTAAGCATCTCTCAGCTATGTAGTTTCCATCATATACACTCAACACCAGCTTTCATCTGTTGTACATTTTCACATATAAATAAATTGAAAGCAGACTCTTAGTATGCAGTTTTCTTAATTCTCCATTTTGTTAATTCACTATTAACTTTGAACTCTAATATGTATGTTGACCAAAATGTTATCTAGCCACTATCTAGCCTTAAATACTTACAAAAAGGAATGTTGTTGACTTAGTGTTTGGTCAACTAAATGTTGTATTTTGCTAGCTTCAGATAATAGAGTCAAAGGAGAAGATGCAATTCACAGCATGATTTATGATAATCTTCATGCAATTTTCAATAAATACTGTGTGTACTCTTACTCTGATAGTGTTTAAAGAGTATGTTCATATTTGTGTGACAGTTCCAGAAGTATTGAATATTACTTTTCAAACATTCCTAAAGGAAAAGAATGTTAACCATATTGCCAAGTAAATATTTTTCCATAATTGCATAACAATATTTATCTTAAGGAATATTTGTTCATGTATTTTTACATTTATGTTTATTACTGTGATATAGCATCAGGAATAGAAGTATGATATAGAGATTAATTATTTACTTGGGTACAAAGCCTGTGACTTTTCTTGGAATAGAATACCATTCCTGAACAATGAAAGTCTGGTTTAGATAATACAGCTTTTGAGTCATTGCCTGAGCCCCGTTTAGCTCATTTTTTGGTAAAGCTATGTATTTGGCAGTTTGAAAAAGACATTTAAGATTACTTGATAGCATATGCCACTTACGTCAGTTACTAAATATTCCTTCCTGAGAAGCTTAATTAAATTTTTGATTCTTCAGTTTGGAAGTTCCTAATTTTTATATATTGAGTCTCATTCCAAAAATAAAACATGGTCAGCACTTAGTCCCTGTGACTTCCAGAAACACAAAATAACTACTAAGTGAAGCATAGTAATTTGTATTCCTTTATTAGAAGATATATTAGATTCAACAAATATGACATTGTCTATTTGACTGTCTTATTCATTTAAAAATAGTAACTTCACAGTCTAGAATGTTGAAACTATGAAAATAGGTCATTTCCTAGTTTGTAGAACTTTTAAAAATCTTAATTTGGCTTTTCTAGCCAATTTTGTGTATTGGTGATGTCAGCAGTATTTAACTCAAGCACAATAAAACTACCACTGTATTTATGAAGCAAAGAGAGGTGCCACTTTTCTTCTTTGGCTTCCTGAGTTCAAGAGAAAATAATGCCCTCATCTTCAGCTTAGCTCTGGCAGCAGAGATAATTCAGTGGGTGAGGAAACAGAGCTGTGTCTCAAACACCAGTATGACAAATGGTGATTGTTAAAGAGCTATTGACAATGAAAATGTTTAGCAAAAAAAAGGCCCATTCTTTTATTGGCATTCATATAAATATTTCACACTTATTTTTGTAGGAAAATAACTCTGCACATAATGAACAGAATTCTCAAATAACAACTCCAACTGATCGCTCATCATTCACTCTTATGAGACAAAGTTCTTTACCATTGCAAAGCTCTGACCCAGAACAGATGAGACAGAGTTTGCTGACTGCAATCTGTTCAGGAGAGGCTGCTGCCAAATTGAAAAGGGTAAGTCTTCTTTATCACACGGGTGACCGTGGGTTTATTGTCACCATTGTCAAACTAATACTTAGGGAAACAAAATTTCTAGCATGTAAATCTCAATAGGGTTCCAGAAGTTAACTTTTATGTTAGAGGCCACTTTTGAAGTATAAGGTGAAAGAGTTCCAGAGTCTTACACATACTTCAAAAATACATCAGGTCTGCTTTCCACAACATGGGCCAGGTGCAGAACATGAGTTTTATTCATTCTTACATAAGTATATAGAGAATGCCCTGGATTCTTATTTTAAGAGATTATGTTAGTACCTCAAGAAAGATTCTTTGGAAAATACCTCACTGTTCTAAAAAAGGTAAATTAGTGATAGGACCCTACAAGTTTGCATGGCTCTTGCCATGATTAGTTACTACCATATATGAGACTTAGCGAAGAATTTATAGGTTAAACCAAAAAAAGCAGAGAAAACCTAGAGAATGTGGATGAGACATAATGCAGAAATTCAACTCTTAGTAATGCCCTGCTAAAGTTGCCTAGCTTCTCCTTACTGTGGAGAAGAAGAGCATCAAAAGAGGAAGTCTGCTTTTTCTCAAGAAAATCACCCAACAATGTCACAGGGATTTCTTTTCAGGTGAATTTCCTCCTTGGGTTTCCTTCATCAACTGAGAAGTGGATGTGCTGAAGCTTTGAACAGGGCATCAGCACTTAGACTCCTCAGAGGGAGTCCTCTCCCTAAACCTCTGTCCTCTTCTAGCCTTAATTGTCCTGGTTGAAAGCACCTTAGCATCTAAGACAAGGAAAGTACTTATCATTCTATTAACTCCTGAGGCATTTCATTTTGAGAATTCCTTCGATGATCATTTTAAAATCCATTTAGAGAATAGTAAGAGACTTGCTGAGCAAAACACTGAACTCAACAGAAATTAAATCTGCAAAGGAATAGGAATGCTGCTAAGATAGAAAAAAAAGTTGGGAAAGGTTTCCTGGGTCTTTCAACCATATCGACATTGGCCAAACTTGACTGCTTAAGCCAACTTCCTCAGTGTGTTTGTGAGGAGCTATGAGTGACAGCCATTCCCTCCCAGAGGATTTGGCACTCCTGTCTGGGCAAACATGGAGACAGGCAAAATATTGGGTGCTGTCAGGAGGCGGGGAAACAGGAAGGAGTAATTCAGGAGGTTAGGTTTGAATTTTGTAAATTATTTGTGGAGTCTGATTTTAGGTGCCAAGCAGCATAGCAATTTGGTATAGCTTTGAATATTGAAATTGGTTTTTCATAGGTCATGACAAATTTATATTTTTAGAGGAGCATATAGGCCCATGCTAATAAATTATGTATCCTCACTTATAAAAATTTTTCTTTCTGATTTTGTAAATTAAGGATGAGTTTCAAACCAAGCACTACTGGTTTCTCAATTCAATAAATTTGGCAAGCATTTTTAAAGCACACAAGTAACAAGTATTGTACTAGATACTGAGAGCACAAAAATGAATAAAATGAAGCCTCTGTCTTCTGTGCATTCACAGCCTGATCCTGAGATAACAGTGGCATATCAGGCCCATGGGAGAACCAAGTTACTACACAGAAACTGCTTGCAGTGCCTTTATACTAGGTCCGTGAAGATATTCATCAGTTTCAATGAACTAATTGCAGAAAACTGCATTAAGTTGGAAATGCATTTCAGGCCAACAGGATTATACAGGCCAGCAGTTATATACATAGGATGTTATGGGCCTTGACTTGACAGTCCTTTCACACAGAAAACTCTCATTGCTTCCATAAGAATCAGGCACTAAATGATGATTCTATAATTGTTTCCTGTTGAAAACTAGTTACTTTAGGTTCTATTGAATCTAAAATTTTCTCTCTTTCAGTGGAAGCTTATTGATAACTCTGAGTATATACAGTGCCATATTCTATTTTTTAAAATAAAAATCCCATCTATAATCCATCTCATTTCACTAAAAATGGATGTAGTATCTTATAAAGTTCACAATATGCGAACTTCATGACTAGCATTTTTCACTTCTAGTTACATACCCTAAAAATTTTCTTATTGGGTACCAGGACTCTCACACATAAGAATGTTCATGGAATATTGTTTATAAAAACTCCAAAGAACTATAACCCTAATATCCAATTAGTAGAATAAATGGCAGCATATTCAAATAATGGACTGTCATATAGCCATCAAGTGGACAAAATGTAGTAAAATGCAGCAGTGTGCACAAAAAATACACAAAAATATATATGAGTAAAGTTTGACAGCATACAAAACTGATTTATATTATTTAGTGATGCATGTGTAAATGGCAGTTATTTTTAAAAAGCAAGAAAATAGTTACAAAACTTATGATAGTGCCTACCTCCAGAGGAGAAGAAAAGAGGTTGGTGAGGGCTTATTGAGGTAAACTATGCACACAACTTAAGAAGGAATCAGAAAGCTAAGTAACCAGATAAATGTTATTTATTTTAATGCAATAAAAATATCCAAAATAATGCAAAAATCTATGATGAAGAAAATACCAAAATTTTAAAAGAAGATTAACAGGGAACTTGAAGGTATTCTTTCTCGACATGAGTGGTGCATTGTATGCAGGTTTGTTTTTCACTGGGTTGCATATTTACATTTAGCAAATTTTTCTATACATATATTCTATATCAAAAAATTGCAAGAGGAAGTAAAAATGGGCACAGGCTGGCTCTAAATTTTTTGTGCTGTTTGCTTAAGTCCTGTGTTTCTGTTCTGTATTGAAGATTTCTTCTAGTTTCTTTTAAATTCTGACATTTCTTTTATAAGAACAGCATTTATATTGCCAAATAAAATTTCCAGTGATTTTGATAGTAGGTTTAGATTGTTCATCAGAAAGTTGGCTCTGTGTTTGTCTATATTTTGGCCTCAAAATGTTCAATTTAACTTCAGGTACCCACTTGTCTTATGGCTCTGCTTATACCCAAGCAATTAACCTTCATTATAATGGTTGGTTTACATTAGAATAATTATCTAGTTGATTGCTCTAGTGTAAATGTAGTCATAAATGTGCCATTTTTTTTTCATGTTTCAGAAGGGAGTTTTTTTTGTATCTTACCCCTACTCAACCACCTATAGTCACAGAGATTAGTCTTTCTTTTCTTCATGTAAAGCATTAATAAATTGAGCTCAGTATGTTATGAATTGTGTGATGTTAAGGTTTATATATGAGTCAGCAAATTATTTACAGAAAATAAGACAGATTAATTCATTACCCTTGGCCTGTGTTGACATAAGAACAGTGTTGGCTTTCAGTACTTGATGGTCTCTGATTTACTAAAATTCAAGTTATTACCCTGTTACAAGTAGAATATAGGTTTGAAAAAGTAAGCTTTGAAAATAAATCAATGAAATGATATTTTGATATTTAGCACTATGTATTAACTGTTTTTCAAATGTAAGATTTGTGTTTGATTCAACAGAAAGTGGAGGGAAGGAAAAAACTGAGAATAAGTCACACAGAATCTTGCTGGCTTGTTTTGTTTATTTAATTGTTCTTTTAAATTCATATTTCCTTGGTTTAAATGTGAAGAACCAAAGAATTTCAGGTTGACAGCTTCTGCATTTTTAAAGTAAATGTAAATTATAGAAACTTTCATAGTTACATTCCTTATGGAAAAAAGAAAGTTATGTGAAATTCCTAAAAATTCTTTAAACTTCAAGAGTAGACAATCAACTAGTAGATATTCACAGCAGTAAATTCTTAAATGTTAAGTTATCTGTATCATAAGTGTAATATGTTCCTCATTCAAAAATATTCAAGTGATACCTTTTTTTCTTGACGAAAGTTTGTAAAAAGTTACCATATTCCATTTAAAAAATATGAGCCCTATACTGTGCCAGGCACTAAAATAAACATTGATATAAAATAGGTATAAACTGGCATTAAAATCAGTAAGGTATCTGCCCTCAGAATTTATAAACTAGCATTCTAATGATGTCTTCTTGTGTTTAACAGTTTAATAAACAAGGGTTTAAATGATAAAGATGTCATTTTTCTACAAAAATAACCATCTTGATAGATTGCTCTGTGAGCTTCTAGACCACTATTGTGGTATATAAACATATTTAATTTACAAAATGGAATCCTCTGCAAATCCATTCATAAACAAATATCTCTTTGAAGTGTTTTTACATTGTTACATATATATCTATATTATTCTTTTTAAGATTACATAGTATTTGAGTTTATGAATGTAACATAGCTTATTTGTTCCTTATTGGTGGACATTTAACTGGGTTCTATATATGGTGCTACAATGAGCATGTTTTACTTGGAGACATTTAGAGCCATCAGTATGTTTTCTAAATGCCTAAAATAAATTTTCTCCTTTACAAATAATTATGAGGACTGTCATTTTGCCAAGAATTACAAAAATAATTCTCCTGTACACAGAAACATTTGAGACCAAAGTTCCACAATGAAAGTCATTACCTCTGCAGCCAACTAAACCAAGTGAGTTCCTTTCCTCATGGGGCTCTGTGTGCAGTGGCTGCAAACAGCAACTTCCTTGATAGTGTATGTGGCTTGTTTCTTGTATGGTTTGCTCTAAAGGGACTTTGGTGACAGGGCTTCCAGATGATGTTCATGTCTCTGACTTTGCACTACCCCAGTGTAGGCTCCAAACAGGCATACGAGGAGCCTTTGGAAAGCCCCAGGACACTGTGGCCAGGGTTCACATTGGCCAAGTTATCATGTCCATCTGCACTAAGCTGCAGAACAAGGAGCATGTGATGGAGGCCCTGAGCAGGGCCAAGTTCAAGTTCCCTGGCAGCCAGAAGATCCACATCTCAAAGAAGAGGGGCTTCACCAAGTTCAATGCTGACAAATTTGAAGACATGGTGGCTGAGAAGCGGCTCATCCCAAATGGCTGTGGGGTCAAGTACATCCCCAATTGTGGCCCTTTGCACAAGTGGTGGACCCTGCACTCATGAAGGCTTCCACTCTACTGCCCCCTCCTAATACTCAACAATAAATTCTACTTCCTATCAAAAACAAAAAAAGTCATTATCTGTCATTTGTTGGCTATACGTGGAAAGAAATCCCACAGGCATACTAAACAGACTGCAGATGAGTTTTCCATTCTGCTGGTGGCAACTCTTCTTCTTCCCATTTTCTTTCAGATGTGTAATGTCAACCACTCTACTCCATCCTGGGTTCATCAGAGTCTAGAAAATACATTAGTTTAGATGACCAATCTTTATTTAATAAAAGGCAAGAAAGGAAGCACAAGGAAACCAAATCCAAATTATATTTGCCAATTTTATTTTCCTTTTAACTAATTGACTCTGTTGATAGGAGAATCTGTGGCCATTTGTACTCTAGTTGTCTTCTTGTGAGATGATAGTGTTTGGTTATGAATCTAAATTAGTCAAATTATAATCTAAACTGTCTTAAAATATCTTCATTATATTGCAAGTTTTATATTTCAAAATATAGATATTTACTATTCAGAATCCAAATGACTTTACATTTTTCTAAAGCTGGAATTTCACACTATGTAGAAAATTCTTGTTTAAGTGTTTTTATTCACTTAAAGTGTGTGACTAGAAGACTTTGCCATAGAATTTTGAAACTTAGGAGTTTACTTAACTGGGGGAAAAAACTCCTTTTTTAGTCTGCAGTCATTTGACTTAATAGTCACAGGTTTGAGTTTTTAAATCCTTCATATGAAAACGTTTTTAAAACCAAGGGCTAGTTTTTTTGTTTTGAATAAATAGGGGGTCATTGGGAGGGGGATTTCACATTCATTTATACCACCAGTACAAAACATGTAAAATTCATTGTTTTGTGGAATTCACTTTATTTTTCTACATTCTCGGGGCAGTTTTGGGGAACCAGAATTACAGAATTAATCTGACTAAAAATGCTCTTTAACAGCTTGGCTTCCAGTCTGTTTGTGCTCTTGTCCTTCATGTTGATTTGGTAATTTTGTAAAGATTAAGATGTGTTAATGGATTATTTAACTTATTTGTTGTGAAAATAACAACTCTCTTTTTAATTTTATGGTAAAATGAACATTTATTCCTTATGTATAATTTATTGAATAATAAATACTTAGCATTTACAATTAAGCAGATGTTAAAATGTGGAAACTGTTGAAAATGGAAAATTAGACAGCTGTCCCATTTTAAATTGATGGGTGCAAAGTCTGTTTCTTTCTCTTAGGTTACCATTCCATCAAATACAATATCTGTGAATGGAAGGTCAAGACTCAGCCATTATTCCATGTCCACTGATGCCCAGGACGGCCGTTAAATGTTACCCTGGCACACTGCACTGCACTTCACTTCCACTTCAGACCAACTTCATACTAACGGAACATTTTGGCAAATGTATATTCAGATGTACACTAATATATTATCTGTTAAAATATGAGAATTTATGCTGTGGCTTTTAATGCCAGAAGAAAAGTTACTAAAATTTATAATTTTTTTTTTATCTTTTTTTGCCTTAAGAATTGAATATGCTGCTTTAGAACTTTAAAATGAGGTGTAAATGATTTTCATTTTTTACAAATGAAAAATAATCACTTTGTATTGATTTCACTTACCAACACATTCTCTTCAATGGTGACTTAGACAAAAGTATTAGATTCATAGACTTACATTTGTGTGACATATAACGAGGGCAAACATAGATCTGACATTTGCTGCCTCAGTGTTACAATTGGAAATATTTATAAGTTATATGAAAGCCTGTTTTGTGCTGAAAGAATGATTTAGAAAACTAGTGATATCAAATAAGTATATTCAGTTCAGTGATTATTTTCAATGATGAATCACTTAGTGTGAAAGACTTGCCTTGTGTATTCTTTATGTAATTACAAATCACTGTCAAATTTATGGGAAGCTCATAGTATTTTAATATTTTATTAACATGGAACTCTGGTTTTTTTAATCTTTAGAACTTAAATTCTGCAAGAATTTTAAATATTTTCTGTATATAATTATGACATTGTCACATAGAAATTACACATTTTATGTGCCAGAAGCCTTAAAAATCTTTCTGTGAAAATGTTGATATATTGTGACAGTTATTCCACATTTGATATGTAGAGAGGAATTGGGGTTAGTTCATGTCCATATAAAAAACTTTAAAGACTATTTAGAAGTTCCAGAAATTCTGGTTTTAATTCAGGTAAAATGATAAAATAGTCATTATATAGTTCAGATGCTAATATCCTAAATAATAATATATATTTACATTGAAGCTAAAACTGTTAAGCAAAACAATGCCTAATTTGTTGGCTTACACCTCTTCTGGAGTCTAGAGCCTGTTGGTGTTCTGTCTCTACTTTAAAAATTTAATTGCTCACTTATTCTAAAAGCTTTGTTCATACAAGATGATATTAAATTTGTTTTCACTTTACTGGAATATCTGCCTCTTTGGGATTTTTTTTCTATTTAATAAAAGCAAGTTGTATATTTTGGATGCTTTTAAATATATATAGTTTGTGTCAACCAGCATATTGATTTCCCTTACCTGATGCATATGTTTCTATTAGCCAGTGAACAGACAAGTAATTGTCAGATGTACCATTTATCAGGGATCCCTAGTGTACATTTGAGCCCTGGCATTCTGACTCCAAAATGGATGGTCTAAGCATGTGAAATGCTTAGCATAGTTCCCGATACATGGCATGGCCATCTTAAATGCTAAACGTTGCTGCTGTTTTCCTTGAATTAGTTGGAGTAACTCTCATATATAGATACTTAAGTTATGTTGTTATAAGCTAGTAGAGAAAGGAATAAATTTTTTAAAAATTGTGCTGGTATAATTATCTACTTGTAAAAATATAAATTTGGATCCCTAATTTAAACCGTAATATATTTGAGTTGGATTGAAGACTTAGCTAAAACATGAGCCACAGGTAAGATGTTTTCAATTTGTTAATATATAAGAAAGGCTTAATTTATGAAAATATAAACATTTCTACAACTTATGAAAAGTCTACCCAGTGGAAATATCAGCACACTATTCTTACAAGAGGAAATTCAAAAGGCCAACATACATGGAAAAAGAAATACTCTTCACTAAAAATCAGGGAAATACGAGTTAAAAACATGGAAAGGGGGCCAGGCGTGGTTGCTCATGCCTGTAATCCAGCACTTTGGGGGCCAAAGTGGGCAGATTACGAGGTCAAGCGATCAAGACTATCCTGGCCAACATGGTGAAACCCCATCTCTACTAGAAATACAAAAAATTAGCCGGGCCTGGTAATGTGCATATGTAGTCCCAGCTACTTGGGAGGCTAAGGCGGGAGAATCTCTTGCACCTGGGACATGGAGATTGCAGTGAGCCAAGATCACACCACTGCACTCCAGCCTGGTGACAGAGTGAGACTCCATCTCAAAATAAAAACCAAAAAAAACATGAGAAGGTACCACATCAAATTAGCAAAAACATAAGTTTCAAAATAGCAAGTGTTGTCAAGAACATCAAATAGTGGGAACTCTAACTGTAGGTAGGAAAATACACTGGCATAACTACCAGTTCTGTGACAGCTAGTAAAATTAAACATTCCTTACCATGTTACCTTAAAGAAGTATTTATGTACACGCATAAGGAAACGTCTACAAAAATATTCATGGCAGGCTTGTGTAAAACAGCAGAAAGGGGTCCTAACCTGTGCTCAACTTTGGTAATGCATATATTCATAGGATAGACTTCCACACAACAGTCAGAATCAACAAGCTAGAGCTATGTGTGTCCGCATAAATACATCTCAAAAACAAGTGACAAGAGTGAGTGGTGGAATAAGATGTGTTTTATGAAACCATTTATATAAAGTATAAATATACAAGATACTATAAATTATGGCTGTATGTGTAAAAAAATTGTGGGTGGTTATCTGTGGTAAATAAGAAAGGTTGAATTGAGATTTATATTATACGAGGCATCAATTGTGTTTGTAATATTTTATTTTATAAACTGAAAATAAGTGCTTATTATACTCTAGATTCTAGTTCACTTGTAGTTTATAAAATGTTTTCAAGGTCACATAGGATTTATGAGGCTATGTATATAAACCATTAATACATGTATGTTCTGAAAAGTCGCCTTATCTACTACCATTTTAGGAGAATGTGTGCTACCCTTTCAATGGGAAAGGAAATTTGTGACAAGTAGGTTCCACCCGTCATATCCTGAAATAAAACAAGCAAGATACAGGAATGGTCTAGAACCAACTTTTGACTTTCATGTATAATTTTTAGCATCTAGGCATTTTGCTTTTTCTTCTTTCCCCCAATCAAGTTATTTATTTATATAATATTAAAATTATATTTCAGATTATATATATATATGAATATAAAGTCCATTATTTTTGTCCTCAGCATCCCACTCTCCTCTCCAAAGATAGCTGTTAATATTTTGATACGAAGTCTTAAATAGATGTATTTATATGAAGTACATGTGTGCAGGTTGCTTGGAGGCTTTTATGTTTGTGTGTGTTAACATGAAAAAGTCACACTCCAATACTATCTAACCACTTTCCCTTGATACCAGCAGTGTTCTGGGAGAGCCTTTCTTTTTGCACATGCAAATCTATCATTTTTCCAGTAGCCATTCTATTGTTTTTTGCTGTGGTACATAATGTTGACTGGAGTGGAGGGATTGTGGTTCAGATGACAAGTCTGCCACTTATGAGTCCTGGGATTTTGGGCAAATTACTTTCTCTGTGCTTCATTTTCTCCTGAAAATGAATTAACATGAACAAATATGAACACTTATTTTAAAAATGGCAGGCACTTCATCTCCTAAAGTTACCTGATGTCAATACTATTAGTGAACAGGTATTATCTGCCTAATATAATCCCTAGTCTTTGAGGAGTGACCCTTCTTCTGATTCACCTCTTCATGTACTGCCAGATCTGGCCTTGGCTGCTAGGCATCGGCAATAGCATGCGCACTCTGTCACCTTATCCACGTCCTTAAAGTAAGACCAATCTTTGTCCTGAGACTTAGTTACTTATACATACTTAAAACCAAAAGTGTCCCAATTGATACAATTATTTGTCTAATGCCAGTTTACTTTTGACCCACTACCAGTAGAGAAAATAAGTTTTAAAAAGCTAAGAATCAAACTCATCATTTTTACAATCTACTGATTTTGGTAACTGACTTGAAAGAAAAGAACTTGCAATTAAAGGTCATAACAAAGATTTCCAGGGTCAAAGTGATTTCTGAGATTTTAGATGGAAAGCTCCTATTTATTTGATATTCTAGAGTTTACAAGATTTTTATTTGATCCACATGTTTTCAAAGTGTTCAAAGATTTCTGCTTTACAAAGGTCACACAAACAGAGGAGTCTCAGAGTCCCACATCCAATTTCTAGTCTGCTCTTCCCCATAACTAATGTAGAAATGATGGTGAAGAAAAGTGCTAGATTTCAAGGGATATCAGAATAGGAAGTTATTTGTTCTGAATCTTCAGTTTTCTTTTTCTCTTAAATGTTACCACATTCCTGCAAATTTCCATCCTTACTATGTTAGGCTCTTCATATAGATACATTATGTTTACAACAAGAAAAAAAATGCCACCATGTGCTCGGAACTTTTTTGACAGGTATTTTGGGAAGAGTTGTGGAACATTCCGGTAATTTGTAGAGATCTCTTGGCATCTCCACAAACTGGAAAAAATCATTTGGAAGCCTTGCTAATTACTTTTCTTGGAGAAGCAAAAATGCTACAGTTGCAAACAAATGAATAGTTTTCAAAAGAAGCAACTTTTTTGCTCCACAGTTTATTCTTAGTTTCCAGCCCACCCTTTGCGATAGTGCGTAGCAGGGTTGGCCTCAATTCTGCATCCATACCTTTAGCTCTGTGACTTTGCAACTCCTCTCATTGAAGAGGCATAGCCAGCCCACTTTCCCACCCATAGAAGCAGGTTTTGAAAGTAAGACAAGTGAAAATGACACTGTACCAGTTCTGAGACCAGCCCTCTAAGGTTCGCATGTTTGTTTGCTTTCACCATATTGAAACGTTGCTGTGAGAAAGACATCTCTCAGACAGCTGAACGGTCCCAAGAAAAGGAGGAGAGACGCAGGGAGCAGAGCTCCCAACTGAGGCCAGCCTAGATCATACAAGAGCCAGGCCCTAAGCTTACTCTGATGTGTAAGTAATAAATGTTTGCCCCAGCAATACCAACAAAGTTTGTGGTTGGCTGGTATAGAGCATTAATGTGGCAATAGGTGCAATACACCCTGTTAAACCATACACATATATGACTCTAACCCCAGTAATAAATTCATTCAATCTGTTCAGGTCTACACACACTGTTTTCTCCAGAATCCCACAGATTACCTACTAAATCCAATACAAACACACGTCAGACTTTCTGTGTGGCTCCCAACCAATTAAAAGCAATTCTAAATAATATTTTTTCTTAGTTACGGTGCAGAAGTATATTCCCTCTCTTTCACTATGGTTTTCTCTCATTTTGTCTTCATATCTGGAAGCATGAGCGCCCAGCTGTCAAAGTCATCTAGCCCCCCTCAGAAGGTCACTTAATTTGTTCATTTCATAAGATTGCAAGATAAAATACAGAATGCCCAGTTAAATCTGAATTTCAGATAAACTACAAATTACTTTTTTAGTATAAGTATGTCTCATACAAAATTTGGGATATAATTATATTTTTATATTGTTTATCTGAAGTTCAAGTTAATTAGGGATCCTGTATTTTTCTTAGCTAAATCTGGCAACCGTACTATTTCATTGAAAACCCAAACATGTACAAAAAAGGAAGAAGCAGAATCTACCATATGAGTAATAGAAGAGAGCAGGCCCAAGACCCCCTAAGTCAAGAAACCAAGAGGCGTCATTATGAAAAAGAGTAGCTAAACCTGTGTGCTCCTTGGTGTTCTCTATCAGAGACGCCCTCATGCTATGAATGGGGAAGGTTCACTGAAGAGTTCATAGTGAAGAAGCTTTTTGAATAATTTCTGTTCGTGGGTTTTGGATACCTCCAAGCCATCAGAAAATATATATTTAGGAAATTCTGGTAATGTCATAATCACCCTCCACGTTGTTATTATGACAGTTAAAACAATTGTTACATCTAGGTGGTAGGTATGTGGGTTATAATTGTACATGATTTTTAACTTTTCTGCATGTTTGAAATTATAATAAAGTCAGTAAATATTGACTCACTCCCATTACAGTGATCAACTGCACTCTATACATGTGAGTAAAGACATGTAATTTGTGGCCATTTGTTCTCCCTCCACCCATTAAGAATGTTGGTCGAGTCAGGGTAGATGATGCGAGGCAAGTAGGAATTTGGCCAAAGCATCTCACTATTAGCAATGTTAATTAAGGGTGTTATGGTTTCGTTTTAACTAAAACAACACCATATACTCCAAGAACTGATGGAACACAGCATTATTTTTAAGAGGGAGGGGAGAAATACAGAAAATGAAATTTAAGTACCACTTCTCCACCATTTACTCTGCTATGTAAGGTTTTTTATCACGTTTTACTCATGAAGCTCAGAGTAGCACCACCCTAGGGTGATGCTGGGGTTGAAGACATATTTGATACCATGGCCCCATTTTTTTCTGCTGTACTCTACTGCCTTATTCAGGTTGTAACTGTGTACTTGAACAATCTTAAGAAAAATTTTTTTCTTTGCAATGAGTACCTCTTTATAAATTACATTTCTAATCTTTGTAACCTTATCTCAGTTGCCTAAACCTAAGAAAAATCATAATGAAAGTGACCAGTATTTTTATGATTTTTCTCAGGTTTTCTCCAAGACTGTTTTGAAACCTGATGAATGGCTGGTAATTTGTACTACGTGTTGTGCCACATCCTCTATAAATATGGAGCACCTCTTAGAATTTTAGTAAGCAATGTACTGTAGAGAAGTATGACCTTCTCCTCGAGAAGTCTAAAATCAAAGTCAGAGAGAGGAGACAGACATAGAAATGTGGAGAAACGTAATCCAATAGTGCATGAGATGTTACAAAGAAATATTTGCCAAATGCCCTTAGAGGCTGCAAAGACTGTGAGGTAAAGGGACTGGTGCTCTGGACTTCCAAAATTGGGTGGATAGGAGTTGGTAATGTGAATATAAGAGGAAACACTGAGGGCTTGCATATGGTGAGTTTCATTAACAGTCTGCATTATTCTGGGGTGGCAAGTTTGCTCATTTATTTGATGAACATGCGTTGACCATTTTCTTTCCACCAGGCACTGTGCTGGGTCACTTTGTTTCTTTGTTAAGAAACAAAGTTAAGACAATTCTTGTCCTCCAGGAATTATAGACTAGTGATGATTCATAAAACATGGTCATAAAAGAAAAGTATGGGAAACTTAAGTTGTCCCTTTTTCCGCTAGGTCATTTGCCTTTTTTTCAGAAGTTCTTTATCTGTTGTTACTAGCTCATTATTAGTTACATGAATTGTGGATATTCTCTTCATGTTTGTAGCTTATTTTTTTCTTGTTTCTTTAAATTGTCTTTTAATGAAAAAATATAATTGAAAGCACCAATATTTTATGTTATGGTTAAGATTTTTTGTAGTATGTTTAAGGAATACTTTTCTGTCCTGAGGGAAGATGGGGGAATTCATTGGTATTTTATTCTGAAAGTTTTGAGGTTCCATTTCTTAAATTTAAAGCCTGAATTCATCTGAAGTTTTTTGTATGATTTCAGATAGCAATCCATTTTTCTTCTTGCTCCATATATGAATAGTCAAATTTTTCTTTTGGTTATAATCATGACTTTCTTCAGTGATCCGACATATTATCTCCATTTTTGAGAATTCCTAAATTAATTAATAAATCTCTTTCCTGTTCCATTGGTCAGGATGTATATACTGCACCGATATTACTGTCTTAATTACTGTAACCTTATAATAAGCCTTTATATCTAGAAGAAAAGTTGCTCCTTTTTCTTCTCCTTCAGAAATATCTTGGCTATTCTTACTCTTTGCTCTTCTCTATAAATTATAGCATAACTTTAATGTCCAGAATATATGACTGGGAATTTTATGGAAGCATAAATGTGTCTGACTAGTAAACACAATGAATAGCTCAGTGTTAGAAGTTAACTGAGGGAATACAAATCAAAACCACAGGGAGATAATGATTTGAGCCTATTGACAAAAATTCAGAAGTCAAATAATATCAATTGTTGGAGAGGATATGGCCCAATATGATCTTATCCACTGTTGGTGGGAGTATCAACTGGTACAAACACTTTGGGAAATGAGGGACTTCTATAATATCTAATATTTGCATATATCCACTTATCTCTCTAGATCTGGATCCCAGCCCTCTCCACCCTGCACTGTGTTCTTGGAAACTGATCCTAAACAGTTTCCTTGCATTCTGGCTTTTGATTTGGTTCAGCCAATGAGAGACCATGGCAAGACAATTGAGAGAAGCATAGAGAGTCAGGTCAAGGTTCTTAGTGAGATTAACTCCTCTGCCAGTTTGTTAGCTGAGTTCTAGTGAAAGCTAGAACTCCGTTGAGTAATCTTTTTAAAGCTGCAGCTGCCCTCTTGAAATTAAGTAGTAGCTCCCTCTTCATGCCTTGTTAGGGCTAGAGATGTTTAAGGGTCCTTGCCATTGCTAGTTCTAGCATATTTTGTTGTCCCATAGTAGTTCTTCTTTAAAATTTTTTCAATTACGTAATTTGATCTTGTTCCTGCCAGTACCTTTGCTAATATAACTGAAAGCTCAACAGTTTCACTAATAGGCCTATACCCAAGAGAAACCAAAGTAGGTCCATTTTCCAGGAGACATGTTAAGAACATTTGCAGTACACTTTGAATTCTTTGGTAATAGCAAACAAACAAACAGACAAAAAAAAACTCACAGAAGGCAACATACAAAATTATAACCTTTTTATAAAATTAAATTATGTCTACATATATATGCTACAAATTTTTTTAAAGGAGGCTTAAAAACACTAAATTTACAGATTGGTTACCTGTGAGAGGGAGAAAGGGAGTAGGCAAGGAACAAAAAGGTAAGTTATCAGTGGTGTTTTATTATTATGTGATATAAATTGGATGGTGGATTTGGAGATGTTTATTATATACATTGGTTGGATAAAATAAATGCATAATTAATGTATTACTGTTAAAAATGAATAGCAGGTTTAGAGAGTCTAGAATTCCTCTAAGTAATCCTATAAAGTTTTGAGCAGAAAGGTGACATAATGATAAAATTAATCTGCTAGAAGTGGCCAGAAATTCAGAAGTTAATGATTTCTTGCCAAAATCAACTCTGATTTAGATGGGGTTCTGCCTCTAGACTTGTGGCAGAGAAAGGGGGGAAAAAGCAGAGTTAAGAATCGATAACATTTTTGGTGGAAATACAGAAAACAAAATGAAATAGGACTGAAATATGAGGTCAAGAGTTGGTAATTTAGTACAGATTTTCCATCCCAGAATTATTGAAATCTGCATTTTAAATATTTTCTTTTAAGGAAATATGAAGAATATTTAGCCATTTGATGCTGTGTCCATATTGGCTACATTGATGCCAAGTGATACAGAATGCCTTCATTTCTTGGGCACTTCCCAGTTCTTACTATTTTCTAGGAATTGAATACAAGACCAAAGCTGAGACACTGCAAATAAAGGTCAGGTTTTAGCTACATCTACAAAATCAATTATATTTTTTTAAATTGCTGACAAATATTATCCAAGTTTTTTGTCTGTGGTGTGTGTGTGTGTGTGTTTGGTGAAAGGAGTACCATTAAAAGATATAAAGGGACATCCTGGCTAAAAAGATTAAAACACTTCTATTCCAAATTATGTATATATTATCTCTGCTTGAATGTCAACCATTCCTAAATTCAGAAAACACTTCTATACTAAACATTTCTCTTAAATATTTAAATGTTAATTTCTTTCCTGCATTCAATAAAAATAGCAAAACTTATTAGGGAATTCAATCCTGTGGGTTGAGTTGTTAATCCCTGTACTCTATTTATACAATTATTTTTTGAGTTTATTTCCTATTTTTATCTTGTCCTTCAACTGCAGTATAGTTCAGGGTTGCCTATTTTTAGTGCACTCAAGTACCACACCATGGAAATGCTTGTCACAGTTCACCATATAACCACAGCAGTACTGGACCGCACCTTGCCTGGCAGCAGGTGGCCAGTGCTTATGTTATCTGTCTTTCAATTTAAAGGGTGAGTCCCAAGTTTTCTATTCTACTATAATGAATATCCATGTTGTTGTGGAAGAAGAGAAAAGCAATAAAACATTTTTATTGCCCTTGTATTCTAGGAGAGACCTCAAAAACCTTGTCTAAAAGTAAGATAAGACATTTAATATGCACACCAAAGATAAAGTAAGTCCTTTTTAGCAACCTTGGGACTTCTGGCTCACTTTTTGTCCCATCCTCATTTGGAGAATCCTGTAAAATTATTTTGTTTTATTTTTTAAGAAAAATTTCAGAGAAATGAGTTTGACTTCTTGAAGATTCTTTGGCAGCTTTCTTTTCTTTTTTAAATTCTTGTCTAGATGAGCTGTCTGCAGAGCAAGCCTATATTTATTTAAATATAAATTTAAAATCTGTGCCTCATGCCTCTTTGATATCTGAGATGGAGCCAAAATAACAAGTGTGTTTAGAGATATCTGGTTAATATTTTTTCAGATTATCCAAATCAGCTCACTTGTAGAAGGCTGACAAGTGGAATTAGAAGAGAATAAATCAATATGTAATTATGACATGGTGCTGTGGCATGAGACAACGGTGTATTTGAAATTGGGGATGCAGGTTTCCTGCTTCCCAACCATCAGTCTGTCAATGCCATCTGTTGCACAATGTGAAGAACAACTGAGCTTATCCTCAACAAACACTGGCTGTTGGTCTTTTCATTTTTTTTTTCTGAAGTACTTGTTTTTATCAAGACCAAGGTCCCTGAAGCATCACAAAGATTTGTGCCTTAAGGAATGTAGCACAATTAAGATCGTTTTCTTGAAACTTTTAAGTGGTCATAAAGAAATAAGAATAAACTGGAGAAATGAATTATTCCAAGGATGCCTGCCCAACACAACGTCACTGATAAGAAATTTCACTTCATTTAAAAGGGTATGTATGATTTATCATAGAAATGATGAAGATTTCAAATCTGAGTTACCAAAATGTGGAATAGCAATGTACTGTGTGGCTTCCCTTGGTTGCAATAACAGAAGAAAATTACACATGAATGTTTAAAGAGATGTTGAATTATGTTATATTATTCATACTATACCTGCTTGTAGCACGTAACATAATTGCAGTGTAAAAGCTATTTATCCAATATTCCCCATGAGTGTAGCTCCATATCTATCTTGTTTGCCCTCCATCCCCAGTCCATAATACATCATAACAGGAGCTTTTGCCTTTACCATATCTTCATCTAAATGCTTCATCGATGTGAATCATTTAATATATCATAACAATACATATTATGATTACCCTCATCTTATAAATGAGGAAACTGAGGAATAAATTATCCAAGATTACATATCTAGTAAACAAAGCCAGAACATGAATCCAGGCATTCTGACTCTAGAGTCCTCATTCTTCTATATTGCCTGTCATATTAGGCATGCAATGCATAATTGTTGAAAGAATGCATGAATAAGACAGTACATTTAATATTTTAGCTTGATGAAATGAGAAATAGACCATTAGAGATACCAATCCTACCTCCCTAAAAATGTTATAATAGAGGTAGTCACCAGTATTTATAGCATAATAATATGACAATAGCCAAGCTTTATTCTTGATGTAATGATAGAATTCTCTCAAGTTCCGAAGATATATTTTTTTTAAATTTGGTTAGGTTTAGTTTGCTCAAAGTTATTCTCATTTCCATTTAAACATATTCTGCCATAAATAATACACAAATATATAAGCACTGAATTATTCCATAGTACTTGTAAAAGTGGCTTACAAACTTAGAAATTGCTATGAAGTGAATTCACTGATTATTTTATTTTATTTTACTTTATTTAACAGAGTCTCACTATGCTGCCCAGGCTGGAGTGCAGTGGCCCAATCTCAACTCACTACAATCTCTGCTCCTGGGTTCAAGGGATACCCATGCCTCAGCCTCCCTAGTAGCTAGGATTACAAGTGTGCGCCACCATGCCCGGCCAATTTTTGTATATTTGGTGAAAATAAGGTTTTGCCATATTGGCCAGGCTGGTCTAGAACTCCTGATCTCAAGTGATCCGCACGCCTCAGCCTCCCAAAAGTGCTGAGATTACGTGTGTGAGCCACCACACTTGGCCTAGCCACCATGCCCAGGCTTACTGATTGATTTTAAAAACATTCACCAAGTAACCACAGTATAAAGTACTATGCCTCTCATCCCCTCTTCTCCCTTGGACATTTCTTATTCTTTCCATGGAGGTGAATGTGTCTGGTTATATTCTCTAAATTTATATTTATTGTGTATTTTAAGCTTGGTTTGATTATTACCTGTTTCCATTTTAATACATTTTCCCAAGAGAACAGACAATTTCAGTATTTCAGTAATAAGAAAATTCTCATAAGAATCAAGAAATAACAAACATGAATTATGTGTACTTTTATTTGCTTTCTTTCTTTCTTTTTTTTTTTTTTTTTTTGAGACAGAGTCTTGCTCTGTTGCCCAGGCTGGAGTGCAATGGCGCAATCTTGGCTCACTGCAACCTCTGCCTCCCAGGTTCAAGTGATTCTTCTGCCTCAACCTCCAGAATAGCTGGGATTACAGGAATGAGCTACCATGCCTGGCTAATTTTCATATTTTTAGTAGAGACGGGGTTTCCTCATGTTGGCCAGGCTGGTCTCGAACTCCGGACCTCAGGTAATCCACCCATCTCGGCCTCCCAAAGTGCTGGGATTACAGGTGTGAGCCACTGCACCCAGCCCAAATTATGTGTACTTTAAATACAATTGCTTGTTCCAAAATTATATTTCATGAGAAAAGTTCAGTAATATTTAATTGAAAAGACTTTTTGAATTATTGTTGTTTTTGCTAGAATCAGCTTCATTCAAGAGTGTGTGGGGCTCCAGTTACACAGTGCAGAGAGGGTGCAGTCTGGACCAGGATACCAGAGATGTGAGTTATGGGCCTGGGGATGTGCAATTTACTAGGAGACCTTATCCAAGCTACTTCGCTTCTCAGAGCCTCAAGTCTCTCCTCTGTAATACTAATGTGCTTTTGAAACATCCTTATCTCTTTCAGAAAACATATAGTGTAATGAATCATCACACCAATACTGTGAATTTCATAGTGACTTTTTTTAAGAAGTTATTTTTAAGGGCAGAAAAAAAATCTCCTTTCTTTAAATCTAGATTTCATTTAATTGATAGTGTTCGTCTATGAAAAATAGAATAAGCTGTGGTGAAGTGATTTGTGTAAATGATCTCATTCAGGAGGCACTGAAGGGATAGATACTTGTCATTGCCAAGTAAGTCACATTTAAATTCCCTCAAGCTTTGAGAAATAATGTGAGGGAAAGTGCAAAAATAGCACTTTCCAGTCATTCCTTTGGACTAAGTCAACTCACGGGCCTCCTGAGAATGCTGCAGCTGTGTGTTCATCTGTATGCAAAGAGAAATAATAAGAATCTATATTTGGCACAGGGTACTTTTCTATATACCAGTGTACTCATCTATCCATCCATTTTTTGTGGAGCCTTTTGGTAAGGAAAGACCCACCATGCACGCTGCCTCATGCACAGTTATAGGCACATATTGAAGATGCTTTTTTTCCCCTGCAATACAGAAAATTGCATGAGCAAACAACCTCACTAAACCAACCAGAGTGAAACTAGAGGCAGCTGTATCTGATTGAAACTGCCGTGAGAATTGAGATTGACAGAGTTGCAGGACGAGGAGGTTAATGAGTCCATAGTCCTGCCTCTAGGCAGAACTGTCCTAAACCATTCCACGCAAATGACAGCTAAACCTCTTGGAAAAAAAAAAAAAAAATCTTCACACCGTGCTTCAGTAACCTATTCCATTGTCTAAATGTCCTTATCCTCACAAAGTTCTGGAAACAATAGGAGTCCACATTCTCCTCTGTTTAATCTCCATGTTGACAGATAGAAAATATAATACATTGACAGAAACGGCCAAGATGATGAGAACCTTAGGGATGGGTCATGGAATTAGTTATCACCTTTCCAGAGACCACAGAGGAGAGATAATTAGCGAATCTGTTGTGGATTGTGGTTCTAGTTAAAGTAATACTATGAGTCGATTTGTTTTCACACATAACATTTATTATGAACTACTAAATGAAATTTTGCCTTGCACTTCATAGCAAAGACCATAGGCTTAGCAAACACTATCCTGAGCTGAAACATGAAAGAATAGGTTCTTAAATTTTAAAAGGGGCTGGGTGCAGTGGTTCATGCCTGTAATCCCAGCACTTTGGGAGGGCGGGCGGATCAGGAGGTCAGAAGATTGAGACCATCCTGGCCAACATGGTAAAACCCCATCTTTACTAAAAGTACAAAAAATATTAGTTGGGCGTGGTGGCGTGCATGTGGAGTCCCAGCTACTCAGGATGCTGAGGCAGGAGAATTACTTGAACCCAGGAGACAGAGATTGCAGTAAGCTGAGATCACACCACTGCGCTACAGCCTGGGTGATAGTGCAAGGCTCTGTCTCAAAAATAAAAAATAAAAATAAAAAAAAGGAAGTGCAGAACTGGTCTGTAAATAGAACCATATTTCTGTATTAAGTATTTTTTGTTATAGGATTCTAATTTGTAGATATTTTCTAACATATAATGCTTCTAATAATAGATTACTACCTGCCCTTTATTTCTGGGAATTGGGAGTAATGAAGGTGTTGGCAGCATTATGTAAGAGCAAAGAATAAGAGGTTTGTAGACCAGAGTTCTAATCCCTTTTCTACCGCTTATCATCTCTATAGGTTTCAGAATACTGCTTGATGCCTGGACTTCATTGCCCTCACCTGTGAAGGGGGACTAATAGTACCTATTTTACACTGTTCTTGAAGAATTAAATGGGATAATACTGGTGAAAGCATCCAGGACTTGGCAGGCACTGGAATAAATGTGAGTTGCCCATGAATCTGATCTGTCACCATTGCCTTTCTTTTTTCTCCATTTCTCATGGGTTCTGAGAAGTAATTTAGTGCAGGACAAACTTGACTGTTCTGAGCGTGTCACTGGCCTGGGTTTCTGCTTCCATTGAGCCACTTGGCCTCTCTTCTCTGTTGCTGATCAACATGCAGACTCCTTGGGGTATTTCCCACAGGGATATCAGGGGCAAAAGCAAGGAGGCCTTCTCATCCCAACTTAAAACTGATGTTGGATTTTAACTTGAATTTTTAAAAATCTGCACATGTTACATTTTTGCTAAGTAAAAGTAGATGGAATTTAGGTTCTAAAACACTGTATCCATTTTTAGAAAGCCATAACAGAACTTCTTTGTGCACAGGATAAAGAGACTAATTCAAAGATAGACTTTTTAATTCACAAGAGTGAGCAATAAGATTGCTATTATTCGTTGTTAGCTAGAAATGCTATTATCTTCATTATTTGGAATATATTTTAAAGCTTCTTATTATCAGAGAAATATGTTCTAATACTTATAAAAGATAGATGTAGAGATACTTAAAACATCAGTCCTAATTTTATGATCCAGAAACAACCACTGATAATATTTATGTACATTTTTTCTCTTTTTCTACATATATTCTGACAAGAAGAAATGTTTTCAAGTTCAAATTCTTGCACTTACTAGTTGGTCTTTGGCAAGTTATTTAGGTTCTCTAAGCATCTGTCACTGCATCTGAAAACTGGTACCATCTTTATAGAGATTTTGTGAAGATTAATAAGAAAATGCATATAAAACAATACTGAATGTGGTACAGAATAAGCTTTCGATCATGTCAGCTACTGTTATTATGATCTTTATTATCTGGATTATATTTTCAATGGAAAAATAACAGTTCAAGTCAAAATAGCTTGCTAGTGACCGTCATTATATATGACTATTTCTCATATAACAACAAAAAAGACAGTTTACTTAATGCTTTACTATGTGACCCCAGATACTATAATATCATAATTTATTTAATCCTTATATCTATAAGAAACATTGTTATTAGTCCCATTTCATAGATGAGTAAACTGAGTCAAAGGTTAAGCCACATGCAGATTTCACAGTGAAGTGGCAAAACTAGGATGTGAATGGAATCAATTGAGTTCCAGACTCCATTTTTGTAAGTAGATATGGAAGAGTTTAATATTTAGCAGGTATATTTGTAAATATTACTGTAAATGTCAAAAATTCCAAAAAGCAAATGACTTTCAATTAATTAGAAAAGGACCAAATAGATAAGTCCAAGAAAAAAATTAGATGAGACGGCCTATCCTTTTGGAAAGAATGTTTTTTGCAATGTTCCCAATTAGCCTTTTATACCCATCCAGCAAAGTTATGGGGCTTCCCCCCATTCAGTCAATTTCTTCTGAACTCTGTGGGTAGCTAGAAGTGGTTGGGCAGCAAGCAGTGTCCTTGGAAAAAAAAAGATGTGTATTACTCTTGGAAACAGACCATGTTGCAAGAAAGTCTTTGACATAAAATAAGGCTGAGTATACACAGTTGTCTCTCATATGGCATTGGTTTGGAAACAGAAGTGAACAAGCCAAACCCTATACTTCTCTCTTTTCCTTTGAATTGGATTCCAGAATGTGTTTTTACACTTGATATTAGCCAAAAGGCTGAGAAGTGTCACTAGCAGAATGTGTTTTTTATATTACCAAGTAGTATTCATGTTTGTTCTTATTTATTCCTGCATAATATTTCATTCAAAGGATGTAACAAAGACAATTGAATGAAAACAAGATTCCTCAGTCATTCCAAACTAAGTTAAGAATTCTGTGCTCTCTGAGTTCATCAACTCTTCCCTTTTGGATATTGTGAAAAAAAAAGAGAACAAAAGTGTCTAAAAACAGAAGACGGACAGAAGATAAACCATAATCGCTGTCAACTTTTGGGGAGGAAACTACTATGTTCAGCTATTGCTAAGGCAAGTATAAATTGGTATATTCCCATTAGAAAACAATTTAGCAACACTTATGAAGTGTACTGTAAATGTTCATACCACTTGGCACAGTTCTCCCATTCCTGAGAATTTATCCTAAGGCAATAATTAAAAAGAAAAGAATATATAAATGCAAGGTCAATTCAAATGCAGTGTTAATTATAAATGAAACCCAAGAAGCAAAACAATTGTTCAACAATAGACAAGTAGATAAACATCCACAGAATGTTTTGCTCCTTCAATAATTATAAACATAAAATGGAAAATAACAGAGAAAAAGAAAAAGTTGAAAAGCAGGGCACTAAATATATAGGCATCCCTCATTTCACTGTGCTTTGCTGTATTGCATTTCACAGATATTGGATTTTATAAGAATTGAAGGTTAGTGGCAACCCTGCATCAGGTAATTTGATTAGTTCCATTTTTCCAACAGCATGAGCTCACTTCATGTCTTATGTCACACTTTTTTGTAATTCTTGCAATATTTTCAAGTTTTTCATTACTAATATATCTGTTATGATGATCTGTGATCAGTGATCTTTGATGTTACTATAGCAATGATTTTAGGACACCACAAATGTTGCCCATATAAGACAGCAAACAACTGAGAAATGTTGTGTATGTTCTGACTGTTCCACCAGCCAGCCATTCCATCTCCCTTTTCTCCTCAGGCCTCCCTATTTCCTGAGACACAACATGTTGAAACTAGGCCAGTTAATAACCCTAAAATGGCCTCTAAGCATTCAAGGGAAAGAAGGTGTTGCATGTCTCTCATTTTGAATCAAAAGCTAGGAATGATTAAGCTTAGTGAGGAAGGCATGTCAAAAGCAGAGACAGGCCAGGCACTGTGACTCATATCTGTAATCCCAGCGCTTTGGGAGGCTGAGGCAGGTGAATCAGCTGAGGTCAGCAGTTCATGACCAGCCTGGCTAACATAGTGAAACCCCCTCTCTACTGTACTCCCAGCTACTTGGGAGGCTGAGTCAGGAGAATCACTTGAACCTGGAAGGCAGAGGGCACATTGAGCTGAACTCACTCCACTGCACTCAAGCCTGGTAGCAGAGCAAGATTCCATCTAAAAAAAAAAAAAAAAAAAATGCTGAGACACACTTATTGTACCAAACAGCCAAGTTGTGAATGCAAAGGAAGAGATCTTGAAGGAAATTAAAGAAAATGCTACTCCAGCGAACACAAAATAACAAAGCGAAGCAGCCTTATTGCTGATACGGAGACAGTTTAGTGGTCTGGCTAGAAGAGCCAACCAGCCACGACATACTGTTGAGCTAAAACCTAATCCAGAGCAACAGTTAACTCTCCCTTCAATTGTCTCAGCCTCAAGGCTGAGAGAGATGAAGCTACAGAAGAAAAGTGTGAAGCTAGCAGAGGTTAGTTCCTGTGGTTTAGTGAAAGCAGCTGTCTCTGTGTCAAGTGAAGCAGCAAGTGCTCATGTGGAAGCTGCAGGAAGCTATGCAGAAGATCTAGTTTAGATCGTCGATGAAGGTGGGGCTACACCAAATAACAGATTTTTAACATAGACAAAGCAGCCTTCTCTTGGAAGAAACTGTCATCGAGGACTTTCATAACTACAAAGAAGAAGTCAATGCCTAGCTTCAAAGTTTCAGTGAACAGGCTGACTCTTTTGCTAGGGACTAATGCAACTGGTAACCTTAAGTTGAATCTAATGCTCGTTTAGCATTCCAAAAATATGAGGGTCCTTCATAGTTATGCTATGTCTACTGTGCCTGTGCTCAAAACACCACAGCATGGATGACATCACCTCTGTCTGCAGCATGGATTACTGAATATTTTAAGCACACTTTTGACATCTATTGCTTAGAAAAAAAAGATCCATTATTGTTCATTGACAATGCACCCATGAAAATATATGAAGATATTAATGTTTAATAAATAATATTAAATAAATATCTTAATATTTAAGAAATATATTTTATAGGGCTTTATCTTACATAAAGAGTTATTCTTCCAATGGATCTGATGAAAGTGAATTAAAAACCTTCTGGAAAGGATTCACCATTCTAGATACCATTAAGAACATTTGTGATTCATGAGAGGAAGTAAAAACATCAACATTAACAAGAGTTTGAAAGAAGTTGATTCCAACCCTCATGGATGACTTTGAAGGTTCTAAGACTTGAATAGAGAAAATAACAGCAGATGTGGTCAAAATATACAAGAGAACTAGAATTAGAAGTGGAACCTGAAGATGTGACTGGATTGCTGTAATCTCATATCAAACTTGAACAGATGAGGAGTTACATCTAATGGAAGAGTAAAGAAAGTGGTTTCTTGAGATGGAAATGACAACAAAGGATTTAGATATTACACAAACTCAGTTGATAAAACATCCCAGGTTTTGAGAAGACTGACTCAAATTTTGAAAGAAGTCCTACAGTAGGTAAAATGTTATCAAATAGCATTGCATGCTACAGATAAATCTTTTTTGATAGGAAGAATCTGTTAATGTGGCAAGCTTCATTGTTATATGATTTTAACAAATGACCATAACCATCTAAACTTCCAGCAAACACCATCTTGATTAATCAACAGCCATCAACATTGAGGCAAGACCTTCCAGTAGCAAAAACATTATGACTTGCTGAAGGTTCAGATGATCAGTAGCCTTTTTTAGTAACATAGTATTTTTAAGGTGTGTACATTTTTTAGATATAATGTTATTGCACAATTGCTAGACTACAGTATAGTGTATACATAACTTTTATATATACTGGACAACTGGAAAATTGATGTGACTTGCTTAATTGCAATGTTTATTATATTGCAGTGGTCTGGAATGGAACCTGCAGTATCTCTGAGGTATAATTATACTTCATTTTTAGAATTTTATTTTATTTTTTAATTCACATTTAATAATTGTACATATCTATGGGGTACACAGTGATGTTTCAATACATAAAATATATGGTAATCAGATCACCTTTATTATCATACATCTCAAACATTTATCATTTATTTTTGTTAGGAATATTCAATATTACTCTAGTTATTTCCAACTATATAATATGCTATGGTTAACTATCATCAATTTCAAATGGTATAGAACACTGGCACTCTCAACCTGTTTTCTTACTATGATGGATAATGTAAATGTAAACCTGAAACATACACATTTTCCTTTAAGGCAAATGATGAGTTCTGTAGTTTTTGATGTGTTTGGTTAAGTATGGTTGCTGGAGGTGAGAAGAGAAAAACTGACATACTCTTCTAATGACAAAAAACCCACATACTCTTCCTCCATTTATTTAGCTCGCTTATTAATTCTTTTGCATTTCTCAAACAAAATTTAAATACATTTAGTTAAAAAATAGCTACATCAGTTTATGGAAGGTAACATTAAATAAATAGGAGCAAAGAACAGGAATATGAACTATGCAATTTTTTTTCTTTCCGAATTAGCCATCTTAGTCAGAAAAGAGATTGAGAATGAATTTCTATGGCAGGGTCTTCAATCTACAGTAAGATTTCATTTCAAACATTAAATTATGTTATATCTTTTTTTTTTTTTAAACTACAGCAGACACTGATGTTGCTCTTTCCTGTTACTGACTGCTTTTCCTGACCATCAGCATGAATTCCAGGCTCCCTTTTTAGTAGCTATTCATTTTTTTTTTCTTGACAGAGTTTGCTCTGTCACCCAGGCTGGAGTATAGTGGTGCGATCTCTGCTCACTGCAACCTCCGTCCCTGGGTTCAAGCATTTGTCATGTCTCAGCTTCCTGAGTAGCTGGGACTACAGGTGCCTACCACCATACCTGGCTAATTTTTGTACTTTTAGTAGAGACGGGGTTTCACCATGTTGGTCAGGATGGTATCGAATTCCTGACCTCAAGTAATCTGCCCACCTTGGCCTCCCAAAGTTCTGGAATTACAGGCGTGAGCCACCATGCCCGACACACTTTTTTCTTTATCTGCTATCTTGATATGACCATTTAACCTTTCATTTCTATTTGTTATTAATTGTTGATTCTCTATTGTATATTTTCTTTTTCCCTGTTTTTTGTCTTTTTTAAAGGTGACCTGGCTAACTAGCTACACTCATTTTTAGTTCTGGATATAAAGGTTAACTCAATGCCAGCTCTTAAACAGCACTTTATATGGTTACATAATTTACCAGGAGAACTAAATGATCATGGTTTTGTGTCATTAAGAACATCTTCTCATTATTCCCATCTTGTAGTCAAATGCTCTGTTATAAACAGAGAAAATGCTTTTAATTTCTTTTTATTTTTTCAATGTAAATAGATGCCTTATGAAAAAATTAACTGTTCTTCCTCACTTGTTATTAAAAGTCTTGTCACCACTTTGGGAGGCCAAGGCAGGCAGATCATGGGGTCAAGAGATCGAAACCATTCTGGCCAACATGGTGAAACCCTGTCTCTACCAAAAATACAAAAATTATCTGGGCATGGTGACACATGCCTGCAATTGCAGCTACTCGGGAGGCTGAGGCAGGAAAATCTCTTGAACCAGGGAGTCAGAGGTTGTAGTGAGCTGAGATTGTGCCACTGCACTCCAGCCTGGTGACAGGGCAAGATCCCATCTCAAAAAAAAAAAAAAAAAAAAAGTTTTGTTACTTCGTTTATAGAGTTTAGTCTTATGGTTGAATGGTACTGTATATTTTAGTCATGTTGGAGTAAACTAGGTATTCATTGACTTTGCAATGATTGATTATTTCCTCATTTTTTATTGCTGGTGATTTATTTCTTGTGTTATTCATATGGAAATACTTTATTTCCCAAGTGGATCAATGCTCTAGAGTACTTTTCAGGGTAAGAAATATAAGATAATATTGAACTTTTAAACATTTTGTCATGAAGTCTCAAATATAGGCGAGGGCTCTAATTTGACTTCATTCTTTGATTTGTGTTTTTTAACATCTGAAAATACTAGCTATTAGGAAAGAAACTTGTGCCTCTTGAAATGGTAATGTAACACCATGGGAAGACTCCCGTTTTCATAGGTGACATGTTAGTGCATATCTATACTTTAACCATCATAGGTGACTGCTTGAGCAGTGTCATCAGAGAATAATGTGCAAATACATAGGCCTTCATTTAACAATACTCAGTGGGCTAGAACAGGAAGCAAAATTTTAACCTCTCCGCCTCATAGGCTCTTCTGCAAAATGGGAAACTAGCATTTCATTCAAAAATCCTCTCTAGGTATAAAGTCTCCAATAAATCTGAATGTTTTTATTTTAAGAATCATAAAATATTATATATTTTAGTAAAAGCAAGAAGGATTTTAAAGTTTATTTTCAATCTCAATTTTTATTTTGGATCGGGGGTACACATGTAGATTTGTTACAAGGATATATTGTGTTATGTTTGGGCTTCCATTGATCTTGACACATAGAGCGTGAACATAGTACCCAACAGGAAGTTTTTCAGCCCTTGCTTCCTCACTTCTCTAATTTGGAGTTCTCAGTGTCTATTGTTCACGTCCTTATGTCTATGTGTACCCAAGATTTAGCTCCCACTTATAAGTGAAAACATGCAATATTTGATTTTCTGTTTCTGTGCTAATTTGCTCCAGCTGCATTCATGTTGCTGTAGAGGATATGATTTCTTTCTTTTTTATGGCTGTGAAGTATTTCACGGTGTATATGTACCACATCCTCTTATTCAATCTAGCATCGATGAGCACCCAGGTTGATTCCATGCTGTGGTGAATTCTGTTGCACAGTTTTTGGTAGAACAATTTATTTTCCTCTGGTTACATATGCAGTAATGGGAGTGCTGGGGTGAGTGGTAGTTCTATTTTTAAATACTTGAGAAATTTCCAAACTGCTTTCCACAGTGGCTGAACTAATTTACATTCCTACCAAGAGTGAATAAGCATTGAAAAAGGACTTTAGAAAATAAAGATATTTAAAGTGATTTGTTGCTCACAATTTAAGATTTACTGTGGTTGACAATAACTGGTCAATATTAGGGATATGTTGGATTATAGCTATAGCTACGTGTATTTACATTTTCAAATGTATGTGCATTAAAGAAAGAAATTTAAATGTGCAGGTTGTCCTATACCCTTAGAATATTAAACAAAGGCAATAAAACATGATAAAACAAAATGGAAATTAGAAGTTTTTACATATTGACTAAAACCCTGCCCTGAAAAACCTAATGCATACATTTAATATCTCTACTACCATGAAACTGAGATTAAAGGATGATGCCATGATATTATGCTGACTGTATTAGGCTGTTCTTGCATTGCTATAAAGAAATACCCAAGGCAGGGTAATTTATTAAAAAGAGAGAGAGAGCGGTGTAGGCTCATGGTTCTGTAGGCTGTACAAGCATGGTGGCAGCATCTGCTTAGCTTCTGGGGAGGTCTCAGGGAGCTTTGACTTATGACAGAAGTCAAGATGGGGGCAGGCACTCCACGTGCCCACAGCAGGAGCAAGAAAGACAATGCAGGAGGAGGTGCCACACATTTTTAGTCAACCAGATCTCCCAAGAACTCAGTCACTATGGCAAGGACAGCACCAAAGGGCTAGTGCTAAACCGTTAATGAGAAAGCCATTGCCTTGACCCAAACATCTCCCAGTAGGCCCCACCTCCAACACTAGGCATTACGTTTCAACATGAGATTTGGTGGGGACATATTTTCAAACTATATCACTGACTCTTTAGAAAATCCAACATTAAGAATATTAAAGTGTAACAGAAGTAAGTTTATTAGTTCCATGTTACACAGGGAATCACTTGTAGGTTTTCTTTAAAAGGAGCCATTTATGATTCCTTCATTAGTGCATTTATAATTTGATTCCATGTGCAAAATTTTCATTTCCACACAGTTTCTTGGTAACAAATTTCTTGTGTGAAGCAAAGTCTACTTGTAATCTTATGCTTTACTAAGCAAGGCTGAGTAGCCTCAAGGTCATTCAGACTAGTTTTTGGCTTCTGTGAGAAGACAGACCCAAGCTATTTAAGGAATATCTGGCTGCTGGAGAGCTTGGAGCCAAATTTGCAGTTCATCACTAGCAAGCGTATGTTTTTTAGATGTTAACCTGACTTCTGGCTCCATCTAACTTTTCCATTCTTATTTTTCCTTTACCTTGTTTAAAAATACTTCTCAACTCAAAACATTTTGAATTTTTCTGTATTAAAAAAATGTCAGTAACCTGCCTTAAATTGCTTTTGATGCATATTTGGATATAAATTTAAAAACAAGGGTGAAATAGTTTGTGTGTTTATTAGGAAGCTCAAAAGAACAGAATTAAGAAACAGACCATAGTCTAAATTATTCTTAGTACTAGAATAGAAAATGAATAACCATAAAAAAGCATGACTTCTTAACAAGAAATAACTAATTTGTTGATAAATACAAATAAACATGTCTTCAGTTAAATATCTGACTTTACTTGAAGTAATCCTAATACTATAGTATTTATTTATAAATTAAATTCCAAATGGTTTATGGATCTGTATAGATAATGACATTTTGAAAACTGTATTTCACTATATAAAATGGCAAACTGAAATGTGCTTCTCATGAAAATACCTATGATATCTACATTAATACACACTGGAAAGATAGTAATCAGTGAAACTTCTGTGATTTCCACATGAATCAGCAGTGGAACATTGCTTAATGTAACACTCAATTACATCATGTTTAATTTATGTGGAAATGTTTGGAAATGCTTAAAACGTCTGTGGTAAATCATTTCAGAGTCTTAATTAAACACTTTTCTATGATAATTTGCTCTGTAACCACTTAAATAATATTCTTACATAACTATCAGTTTATTGTGAAAGACTCTAAACCCAAATCATTACATTTTCTTCTTTGTATGATCCAAAGCTTGTATCCTTCAAGGATTCATTTTCCTGTCACGTGGCAAATAATTCTAATACTCATAGAATGCTTATTTCCATCTCATAGCTAGTTATCATTTTTTAACTCACAATATTTATTTCTTGATATATAAATACTGTAGTGAGTTATAGTGTCTCCAATAATGATTAAGTCTTAAACTTCGATATTCTTTCCCCAAATAATATTACTGAATATAATGTTCTTCTCCCAGACTCAATTACTTTTATTATAAGGAGTATTTAAGAAAGGAGTTCAATTTCATAGTAGAAACTAGTTGAAATGTAATTTTTATATTTGGCATATAAAAGATTTTATGTTAAGCTGAGATCAGAAAAATACTAACTAAAAATTAATAACTTCACAGAGACAGTCTCTATAACTGTAAAATACAGGAAATGAGAGTCCCTTTAGGGTTTCAATCACTACCTGATTAAATGTTTCAATAAAATAAACCTTTTTTGTAATGTTTTATATGCAAACTTACTTAAAATATAGTATTTTTCAAGAGCTATGATTGCTTTATGTAATGTAATTTAGTTAAAATAGATGCAAATTTATATAATTCCAGTTACATATGAACTTAAAATTAGACATTTGCTGCTTTTTGTATCATTTTCCAGAAAAATGAGTCAACAACCAACTAGGAAACAGTACTAGTCAACTCTTAATTATAAATTAACAAAAACTAGTGACAACAAAGCAACACAGTCTGAGTATAGTACAGACAAAAGGAATATGGGGCTTGTAATTCGGCTGAGGCCTCACTAGAACTATATGAATCTCCTCCTCTACTTCACTTCCTTTGCCTTCGGTTTGAATCTCAGTGGGTCATGATTCTTTTTCCTGTATGATGAGGGATCTGAACCCCTTGTGGCCCTCCTGAATTAGGTTGCAGTATAATTTCATTGACATTTTCTTTCTATTCCCAAATATAGCAATAACTACACTTTCCTTCAAGGGAAACAAGAAAACACAGTAACACATTAACAACAGTAATGATCTTTTTGTTTCCCTGATTATCTAGGGCATGAAAAATCCAAACTCATCAGGTACAGCCTTAGTTTATAAATAAATGCAACATTATTGTGACTCTTGGTAAAGAATTCCCCTTCTCTTGGTGCTATGCTATCAGAGTTGAAAATCAAAAGGACACAAAGCAAACAATTAGAAAGTGTCAGTAAATGTAATTGCAAAGCCTTGTATACCATTTTCCAACCCTAGGATTCTAGGCCCATATATTTTAGCTAAGGGGGTAACAGAACTCCATGTGATAGTCACTTGTTCAGAACATAAACCATATTCTGCAGGACAGCACTTTAAATTTGCAAGCTGTTAACTCTGGATGAAGCTCATCTGAGTTTTCAATGACAAGTAATGAAGTATGAAATAATACCAACGAATCTCTTGAACATTAGGTCATTGCCTTGTTTCTTTATAAAGTTATTGCCTTGTTTCTTTATAAAGTTATTTCCTTTAAACTGAAGCAATTTTGTGTGGGATATCCTGCCCTTGCATAAGGTAGACAATCTATAGACAGAGCAAGGACAGAGAAAAATGATCAACAAAAGCAAAAAAAAAAAAAAAATCTAGAATATTTATTGTAAGAAGGAAAGATTTCTGCTCCTCACTCTTTATTCCCTAAAAGATGGCAGCAGCCCACTCTAGACAACCCGACACCAAATAGTTCCTTGGTTCTTCTAGATATAATGCTTATAAGGAGCTTATGATGCTCTGCTGCTATTAGAAAACGGAGTATTCATCAAGACCGTAGCCATGTTACCACTGGGAAGAACTCCATGTTGTTGAAACCATGAATAACCTTCATTCCTTCCATGATGAACATGTGGTTCTTGAGTCCACTAGAATTTCCTGAGAAAGAAGAGTGACCTATGTCTACTTAGTGGGTCACCTTATTCACAATAGAGGCTTTGTGGTGAATACTTAACTTCCCAAAAAATATATTCACATTCTGGGCTCACTATGAAGGATCATACCCCTTTCAGCATACCGTTTCCCCAGACTTCTTCCATGTGCTCCAAGTCCACTGTTTTCAAGTGCCTGACTGTCTACCCAGTACATTAACAGCTGACTTGGTGTAGGTTCCCGTTCTAGTTATTGTTGTTGCATAAAAAAAATTAACCCACAGCTTTGTGTTCCAAAACCATTATTTATTCTAATCATGGATTCTGTAGGTAAGGAATTGGAGTGGGAGACAGTTTGTCTTTGCTCTATGTCTGTGATCTCAGCTAGGAAGTCTTGAAGCCTGGAGATGACTCAATGATTGCGGGCTGGAAGCACCTGAAAATTTGTTGATTCACATATCTGGTACCTAAACTGGTCTGACTCAAAGACTAGGACTGGTGACTGGGCCCCTACACATTGGCAAACACACAGCATGACAACTACAGGGTAGTAGGATTTCATTCCAGGTGACCAAAGGAAATAAATGAATTACTGTTTCACCTTTCCATACTAGGATCAGGCAAATCTAAATTCCATCACTAAAATGATTAGGATCTAAAATTTCTTCAGCTTCAACAAGGCCAGATAAAAACCCCAAATTCTGCCCAATTCACAGAAGCTCTGTGCTATAACTGGCTACTGGTAACAATTTCTGTTTCAATCAGGGTCTTCGTTGCACAACAAAATAGACTCTTGCTTTACTAACCAGAAAAGAACTACATTGAAAGAATATAGGTTGGCTCAGATAGTCCATAAGAAGGCTAAAAGTACCTCTCCCAGGACATGAACCTTAGAGAGTGGGAAGAGAAAATGTATCTAAACTTATATCTCCATAACAGCTTGATAGGACTTTGTCACTAGCAGTGTCACCAGTAGGTCCTCACTGTTGCTGCTGGCATGAACATCTAGCACTACTATGACTACTTGACCTAGTCAAGTTCTGTTGCCTCCAGAACAACCTCTAACTATCCCAATTCCATCATTTACTACAGAGCTAACATTCCTGCATAGAGTAGCCTGTTGGCTAAACCTGAGACATGCCTGCATCTTAATTCATGGGGTGAGAAAAGGGGCTGAATGTTCTTTCCAGTTCCCTAGAGGGAAGTGGGGTTTTGCTTCACCACATTTACACAACAGAATTCCTCCTAAGTAGAAAAGGGGCTTAGATTATATGTAGACAAAAAATAAAGCAAATACCCATTGAATATACTTAATCTGATTATTTAATAATTAAAATGATTGAATAAGTGAATTAAGAGTGAGTTAGTTCGATTGCTTTAACTTTTTTCATTTATAAAATAAGAGTTTTACCTGTGATCTCTGATTTTATTATAACTTTAAACTCTCTTTCAAAATTATTGTCAGCTGGGCATGGTGGCTCATGCCTAAAATCCCAGAATTTTGGAAGGCTGAGGTGAGAGGATCACTTGAGGCCAGGAGTTCAAGACCAACCTGGTCAACAGGGAGACTCTGTTTCTACAATAAATAAATGAATAAATTAATAAAAATTTAAAAATTAGCTAAGCATGTAGTGCATGGCTGTGGTCCTATCTACTCAAGAGGTTGATGTGGGAGGATCACTTGAGCCTGGGCAGTCAAGGCTCCAGTGAGCCATTATTGTTCCATTGCATTCCATCCTAGGCAACAGAGCAAGACTATCTTTAAAAAAAAGGGAAAAAAATTACTGTCAGTATTATTTGCAGAGGCTCATCCACATGGTGGAGCCATATGCCCAGGACTTAGCAGTACCCACTGCACAAATTTCATGAAACTCCTAATTAATCAAGTAGGCTAGTTTTGAAGTTCCAATGGCTTGTTTTATGTGTGTATATAAAACAGGGACAATTAAAGATTATTGAACAAAGTTGGTTAAATGTAGTGGGGCTCCATCTAATTTTCCTTTGTGTGAGCAGAAATGTGAGAATTTTTTTGACATTATCTAATTTTGCTTTCTGAACTACAACACAGCTGGATTGTCTAGAGATAGCATATAAACTAGCAGACAGAAAACTCAGGAAACACCTTTCCCAAGGATGTAGGTTCTGGTACAGAAATCCTTCCATGAGAGACTAGGTTCCAAGATTCTCTATGAGGAAATTTGAGAACTTTAATTCACCTCCTCTGAGTCATTCCTTCAGCAACCTAGATCTCAACTGTGAGAATGATTCAACCTTTTTAAGCCAATACAGAATCTTTTCTCTCTCCTTCAGGAAAGATTGCAAATATTCTTGGAGGAAAAGGGGATGACACTCCAGAACTGGCTGGCTTTCCTCTTCACAGTGGATCTGTGATGGTTCCCAAGGAAAATGCCTTCAGGGAATCTCCCTGCCTTCATCTTTTGGCAGCCAATGCCAAACCAAGCTCAGATCTTCAGAGAAGATTTCACTTATGGTGGCTCTCACAGTACGTTTTATTATTGAAAAATTAGGAGTAGTAACAGTACCTAGAGCATACAGTGGTTGTGAAGACTAAGTGAGATGAGCTTAGAACAGTGTGGGGCCTACAGTAAGCACTAGAAATGCACTACATATCACTCTTATTATTTAAAATGATGCTCAAATTCCTTTGCAGAATATTCAGCACCCCTCATGATCTTGCCCCTGCTTTCTTATCTGGCTTCAACTCATCATACTCCATACCATTTTTTCCCTGGCACCAGAAGAGCTCTGTTCCACCCCTATTGAACTACTTGTAGTTATCCTGAACCTCCATTCTTTCTCTTGGCTTAGGGCTTTACACATGAAGCTCTCTGTCTAGAACATCTTATCCTACATAATTTGTCATATTAAATTCTACTCATTCTTTGGGACCTTGCTTCATAGTTAGATATTGCAAAAGCTTTTCTGTTCTCCAAACTTGGGCCTGGTCTTATGTCTTACTAGATGCCCTTTAGGACTGTCTTAATCCATTCAGGCTGCTATAAAAAAATACCATAAACTGGGTGGCTAACAAACAACAGAAATTTATTTTTCACAGCTCTGGAGGCTACGAAGTCCAAGATCAAGGCACTGGCAGATTCAGTGTCTTGTGAAAGCCCACTTTCTAGTTCATAGATGGTGTCTTGTTACCAGGGGCAAGGGTACCTCTGGAGCCCCTATTAAAAGGGCACTAACCCAATTCATGGGGGCTCTGTCCTCATGACCTAATCACTTCCCAAATACTCCACCTCCTAATACCATCCCCTTTGGGAATAGGATTTCAACATAGGAATTTCAGACCATAGTAAGTACCCTCTGTTTACCCCGCCTCTGTAAAAGTTCATTGTAAACTGCTTGATTCTTTAGCTATCTCCTTCACTTGCCCATAAGATTCCTAGAGGTAGAATTTCCTAATGGTATAGCATATCTCAGTGCGTGGAACATAGTACATATCCAATAAATAAAGAAATAATGAGAAATAGGCCACTTACGGCATGATAGAGTTATTTCAAAATAGAAACAAAGAAAAGTAAGATATATTGGTGGCAATTACAAAACATCATGTATATTTTTAGCACAAAATAGTTAAGCATATTGGGAATACATAAATAAATGAGGCATTTGGGGTATAAATATCTCTCACTCAAAAAAGAAATTTGTAATTATTTTATATCACATATTTGTACAAATGAATTGTAAAAGGTAATTAATACTAAAAGAAAATTATTGCACCGGACAGGGAAAATCAAATTGGTAAATTGATTAATTATATTCCTAATTATTTCTTACATTTTTGTTTTTCAGTTAGGGCATCTGCTTAACTTTGGAATAAAGATGTTCATTGATCCTGGTTTATTGGACTTTAATCCAGTACTACTGAATTGAAGCACACTGTGAACTACAAACATATTTTCATTCACCATGGCAGATGCTCTTTGAAACTTGCATTGTGAGGACAGAAGTTCAATTAATGTGTTTCCCACTTGTTCTGCAGACAGATAGAGGCCAAATGACAAAATGGAAATATCTTCAACTAAATGTCAAGAAAAAAACTAGTGTTCTAGAGTCGTCTTTGCCACTTAAAATAGCCTTGTGACTATAAGTGTGTCATCCAACATCCTGGAGGTTCAGAAATGGAATGGAAATATATTTTGTAATTGGCATAGCATAATGAAAGAAATAACCTCCAACACATAAATGTCTGTAGAATCCTGTGGCTTTGTCACTCCTACTTAGGTGACCACTGAACCATCTGTTTCAATTTTCTCTTTCACTTATTTAATATACATTTAGTGGTTAGCATAAACAGACACTATTTGAGAATTAAAAAATGAAATAAGTGGTTGTTATCTAGAGAAATGCAGCATTTAATGTGAAAAGCAAGCATCCAAACCTTGCATGATACGGTCAATAGAAGCCTTTCTCAAATTTTTATATGTATAGGAACCATCTGAGGAATTCCTTAAAATTGTGGTTCACTGCATCTGGAGTGGGACCTGGGATTCTTCATTTTACACAAGCTGCCAGGCTATGAATACTGCTGATCAATGAAGCACAGTTTGAGAAGTGAGTGTAATAACATATAAACAGAGATATGCTACCAGAGCACAGAAAAAAAGAAACTAACTCAACTATAAGATCTAAAGAGGAGTTGAGATGGAGTTGAAGGATTAGTAACAGAAGATGCAAAGCAAGGCAATTAAATGTCTTTGAGTAGAGGCACTATTTTATACAGAACACAGCGGTGTGAATTGCCATGGTGTGGGTGTAGAAAAATTATACCACATTGGGAAGTCATGTGCAGGGAGACCAGTTTCCAGGAAAAGCAACAGTTCACTTGGGAGGTAATGAAGGCCTGAATTACTTTAGTGTATTCATGTGACTATTCGTAACTGAGTTTTCTAAGAGGTATAGTGGATAGGGCCTAACAAAGGGGGAAACAGGGAGGATAAAAAGGAAAAGGAAGTACACTTCTCCCAATATATTTATGAGGTAAAAAGTGACAAGACCATGGCCATATTCAGTGGCTTGTGTGTGTAATCCCAGTGCTTTGGGAGGCTGAGGTGGGAGGATCACTTGAGGCCAGGAGCTCAAGATCAGTCTAGGCAACATAGCAAGACCCTATCACTACATAAAATTAGTTGGGTGTGGTGCCACGTGTCTGTAGACCTGACTACTTGCAGGGCTGAGGCAGGATCACCTGTGCCCAGGGATCAAGGTTACAGTGAGCTATGATCATGCCACTGCACTCCAGCCTGAGTAACAGAGCAAAACCCTGTTTTTTTTAAAAAGAAAAGATAAAAAGACAAGAAAATGACAGAACCAAATTGGTAATGTTGTTTTTGTCAAAATTACCATTTATGTGAACATTGCCATTTTGCCAAATTGGTAATGTTTTTAAGATAAGGGTTAGAGTAGGAGAAACAGTTTTTGCCAGAGGAGGATAAAAGTGAAGATAAAATGAATTTGAACATGTAAAACTTAATGACTGAAGGACATATTTCCAGGGCCAGGATAATTTACTTAATAACAGGAAGGCAATAATAGATCTTTAAACCTAGAGTTTAAAGAATTCTAGGATAGAGGCTACTTTCTATTTAGCAATAAATTTAAAAATTTTTTGGAAAAATATTAACATTTTAGCATCATTTCATGAGTCCTTTCAGTAATTTTATTTTCTCATTTGTAAATTCTCTGTGTATTCCTTAAAGTTGGCCATTATGACTTCTAATCATATTAGGAATAATGTCAATAAGATGTCAGAAGATGCCCAGATATTGCTCCCCCACAGAAACACTGACTTAACAACAATACATAGCCCAAAAAGCCTTTATGACAATGGTAGAAATCAGTTAGAAAGTTGATGTGCACCAGGCAAGCACAAAGCCAAGAAGAGCCCCATTGAAATGGGAAGGAGAAGCAAGCTCCTTCTCTAAGCTGTTATACTACATAATCCGAATGAAAAGCCCCAATGTACAGCTTCTCCTTTGTAGGGAAAGAAGAGATTGGTATGTATGTCCAAGTTCCAGCTTTTGAGGTGGGAGGAGGGTGCTGCCTGAGAGATTGGTTTTGATCTCTCCTAACTTGGAGCATTAACAGGGAACCAGGATGCTTTAGATGCCTGAGAATGAAGTGCAGTTCAGTGAATTGTGGCAGCACCAGAGAAACTGATGTACTGCAGACAGACACACGAGAGAGCAAGAGATAACATGTTCCTGAAAAAGAAACTGGCAAACCTCTTTCACTATAAAATTACATGTATAAGTTCAGAGAGAAGATGCATTCCCATAAATGGCTTGTGAAGCCACTAGAATCTCTATACAGGCTGATTTGTGAAGGTTTTCCCTGTACAAAATCAGTGCACAAAGATTGGGAGAAGTGACTGCGTTTCAAATGCCAAAATTACAATAAAAAATTAGGCACATGAAGAAATAAGAAAACATGGTTAATTCAAATGAATAAAGCCAATTTTCAAACACCAATTCTAAGAAACAACAAAGATCTGTGAAAGTAGCTAACAAGGAATTAAAAATAATTATCTAAAGAACATCGGTGTGCTTTCAGAGAAGACAGAAAACTAAAAAAAATCAGAAAAATGATGCATGAACAAATTAAGAGTATCATTAAATAGATTTTAAAAACAAGAAAAATAATGAAACAGAACCAAACAAATTATGGAGCTGACAAATAAAATAACTGAATTGAAAAATTCACTAGAATGGATGAAAGTAGACTTGATCAAGAAGAAGAAAGAGTCAGTGACTTCAAAGACATTGAAATTTTAAAGAACAAAAGAACAAACAACAAAGAATAAAAGAATAACAAAAAGTGTTGAAAGCCTAAGGAACTTACAAGACCCCATCAAGCAGAGCAATATATACATTATAAAAGTCTCAGAAGAAGAAGAGAAAGAGAATGGGACAGGTAGATTATCTAAAGAAATAATAGCTAAACACTTCCCAAATCTGAGAAAGAAAATGGTTTTCCAAATTCAAAAAGCTCAAGGAACTATAATGTTGATAAATGTAAAAAGGCTGACACTAAGAAACATTATAAACTGTCAAAAGAAAAATGAAAAAAAGAGGGTCTTAAAAGCAGTGAGAGAAAAGTAACTCATTATATACAAGGGAACTTCCATAAGTTTATAAATGGATCTCTCAGCAGAAACAACTGCATTACAAAAGAAGAAAGATCTCAAATCACCAATCAAAATTTACACTATAAGTAACTAGAAAAAGAAGATCAAACTAAACCTACAGTTAGCAGAGGGAAGGAAATAATAAAGGGTAGAGAAGAGATTAATAAAATAGAGAAGAGAAAAAAAGTCAACAAAACTGAGTTCATTATTTGAAAAGATCAATAAAATTGACAAGCTAATCTCAAAATCTTCAAAAAAATAGAAGGGTGGGGAACACTGCCTCTTGAGGCAAAAACCCTCAACAAAATACTAGCAAACCAATATAAAACACATTAGAAAGATTATACATCATGACTAAGTGGAATTTATTTCTGTAAGGCAGAGATGGTTCAACATATGAAAATCAATCAATGTAATATACTGCATTAACAGAATGAAGAACAAAAACCATATGATCATCTCAATTGATGCGGAAAAAGCATTTTGCAAAACTCCAAAGACTTTCATCATAAAAACACTCAACATGCACATATACTAACGGGAGTGACATCCACATAATAAAGGCCATATATGAAAAGCCTACAGCCAACATCATGCCAATGGTGAAAAACTGAAAACTTTTTGTCTAAGATAAGAAGCAAGGCAAGAATACCCACTCTTGTCACTTCCCTTCAACACAGCACTGGAATATCTAGCCAGAACAATCAGACAAGAAAAAGAAATAAACAGAATCCAAACACAAAAGGACTAAGTAAAATTATCTATGTTTACAGATAACATGATATTGTATGTAGAACACCCTAATGATTCTTTAGAAAAAAAACCTGTCAGAACTAATAAACATATTCAGCAAAGTTGAGGAATACAAAATCAACATGCAAAAATCAGTTGCATTTCTCCCATTCAAGTACTAACCAGGCCTGCCCTTGCTTAGCTTCTGAAATCAGATGAGATTGGGTAAGTTCAGGGTGATATGGCTGTAGACAGTCAGTTTCATTACTATACATTAACAATAAACAGTCTGAAAATAATTTAAGAAAAAATGTGATTTTCAATAGCATCAAAAAGAATATTTAGGAGTAAGCTTAAGCCAAGATTAAAAAACTTGTACACTGAAAGCTATAAAATGGTGCTGAAAGAAATTAACAAAGACAAAAACAAATGGAAACATGTCATGTTCATGGATTGTAAGACTTATATTGTTAAAATATCCACCCTACTCAGACCAAACAATGAATTCAATGCAATCAGTATCAAAATCCTAATGGCATATTTTTTTGTAGAAATTTTAAAAAATTCTAAAATTAATATGGAATCTCAAAGGACAATGATGAAGTGATCTTCCACAAAGGCACCAAGGCTACACAAGAGAGAAAAGACAGTCTCTTCAGCAAATGATTATGGGAAAACTGTGTATCTATATGCAAAAGAATGAAATTGAACCCTTACCTTATACCATATACAAAACTTAAAATTGATGGAAGATCGAAATGTAAGATCCAAAACTATGAAACTCCCAAAAGAAAACAAAGGAAAAAAATCTTCATTACATTGGACTTTTTAATGATTTCTTGGATTTGACACCAAAACATAAGCAATAATAGCAAAAATAGATAAATGGGACTAATCTAGCTTGAATACTTCTGCACAGCAAAGAAAACAATCAACAGAGTGAACAGGTAACTTATGAAATAGGAGAAAATATTTGCAAACTATATATCTCATAAGGGATTAATATACAGAATGCACAAAAAAAAAAAAAAAAACTCCCACAACTCAACAGGAAAAAGTAAAACAGCCCAATTTAAAAAGGGGCAAAAGAATAGATATTTCTCCAAAGAACATACACAAATAGCCAACAAGCATATGAAAAGATATATATATATATTTTTTTTTTTTGAGACGGAGTTTTGCTCTTGTTACCCAGGCTGGAGTGCAATGGCACGATCTCCGCTCACCGCAACCTCCGTCTCCTGGGTTCAGGCAATTCTCCTGCCTCAGCCTCCTGAGTAGCTGGGACTACAGGCACACATCACCATGCCCAGCTAATGTTTTGTATTTTTAGTAGAGACAGGGTTTCACTATGTTGACCAGGATGGTCTCGATCTCTTGACCTCGTGATCCACCCGCCTCGGCCTCCCAAAGTGCTGGGATTACAGGCTTGAGCCACCACGCCTGGCCATGAAAAGATGTTAACCTCACTTATCATTAGGGAAATGCAAATCAAATCCACAATATGATGTCACCTCACACCAGTTAAGATGGCCACTATCAAAATACCAGAAAATAACAAGCATTGGTGAAGCCATGGAGAAATTGGAATACCTGCACACTGTTGGTGAGAATGTAAAATAGTATAACTATTATGGAAAAAAGTACGGAAATTCCTCAAAAAATTAACAATAGAATTATCATATGACCCAGCAATCCCTCTTCTAGGTACATACACAAAAGTATTGAAAACAGGAACTCAGAAACATATTTGTGTGCCAACATTCATTGCAACATTATTCACAATAGCCAAGAAGTGGAAGCAACATTAATGTCTACCAACAGTTGAACAGAGAGGAGCAAGTCACATCTTACATGAATGGTGGCAGGCAAAGAGAGAGCTTGTGCAGGGAAACCCTTATTTTGAAAACCATCAGATCCCATGAGACTTATTCACTATCACAAGAACAGCATGGGAAAGACTCGCCCCAGGATTCAATTACTTCCCAACTGGTCCCTCCCACAGCAAGTGACAACTACAGGAGCTACAAGATGAGATTTGGGTGGGAACGCAGATCCAAATCATATCATTAGCCTAAAGAATGAAGGAATAATCCTGTTGAGATATACAACATGGAGGACATTATGTTGACTGAAATAAGCTAGTCACAAAAAGACAAATGCCACATGCTCCCACTTATATAAAGTATCTAAAACAGTCAAATTTTTAGAAACAGATAATAGAATGGTGATTTCTAGGAACAAGAGGCGGGGAGAAATAGAGAGTTATTGTTTAATGGGCATAAGATTTCAGTTTTACAAGATGAGAAGAGTTCTGGATATGGATGATGGTGATATTTGTACAACATTCTGAAAGTACTTAGTACCACTGAACTGTACACTTAAAAATGATTGTAATCATAAATTTTCTACTATATTTTGACCACATTAAAATCATTTTGAATACAGTATATTTTAATCTTGCCTGTGGTGGGTTATATAATACAATTAATTTTCTATCTGTTCCTCTCAATTATTGCCAGCATCATGTCAGCTTCTTTTGTAGAAAAGTGATTATTGAGCATATCTTCTCTTCACAGTACCCTTTCACTTCTCATGAAGTCTATTTGATTATATTCCAGACTCTTTAAATAAATTATTCTGAAATGATTTGTCATAAATGAATTATTTTTGGTAGCGAATAATATTGGAAGTCTAAAAGAAGTACTACACAGTAAAATGAATTTAGTAAACTTTTGTCTGTATTTGTAGAGCTGATTTCTTTTATATAACAGGAGTTTCAAAATCATGAATCCCCAGGGTCAGAGAGGTAATGTAGTGGAGTCAAGCAGGCTGGGTGTAGCTATTCATAGTTCCAGGGAATTGATATTATGTGGGAATGCACATCCTCTCAGGAGCTTCTGATTTTTACAGAGAAGTAGAGATTTGGATTTTCATTTGAAATCTACTCATCTTACCTATATTGGTGTAAAAATTTTAAATATACTATTTACAGTTGTTATGGGTTGAATGTATCCCCTAAAAAGATACATCAAAGACTTAACCCCAATACCTGTGAATGTGACCTTATTTTGAAATAAGGTCTGCAGATGTAATCAAGTTGCAATGAGGTCATTAGGGTGGGCCTTAATACGATATGACTGGTGCCATTATAAGAAAAAGGAAAGAGAAAAATACATAGGGAGAATGCCATGTGAAGACTGAAGCAGAGATTGAACAGAAGCATTTATAAGCCAAGGATTCTCAGCATCATCAGAAGCCAGAGGCGAGGCATGAAACAGATTCTACTTCAAATACCTCAAAGGTACCAACCTTGCCACAACTCAATTCAAGTCTAGCCTCCAGAACCGTGAGACAAAATATTCTATTGTTTTACTAAGTACCCAATTTGTGGTACTTTGTTATGGCACTCCTGTGAAACTAAAGACATAGTAAATAAACAGACCTGTGAGTTTTATATATCATTTGCCACCATATCATGTAAGTAATGGATTTTTAAATCTCAAGAATTTAAAAAAGTACATGTTTGTGGCTATGCCTGTTTGGAATATGGCAAGGTACTTTGTGTCATTCTCAACATCTCCACCATCCTCTGATCTCTTAATCCAAGAGATGACCAGAAAGATGAGTATTTGAGTTTATTACCTCAATAAATAGTAAAGACTTACCATGTGCCAGTTACTGGACTACGCACAAGAAGTAAAACTATAAAAAAGAAAATCCCTTTTTCCTCAAGAAAGTCAGTGTTATAAAATCAGTTCTAATATAGTAACTGCGATGGTGACGAAGTAGCATGGATTGCTATGGGAAGACAGAGGAGGAGTTCCTAACACCAACAAGAGGCTTGGAAAGTGATCACGGGGTGAAATGAAAGTTGATTTGTCCAATAACTAGTATATACTAGAATTGAATTCAAACCCAAGCCTCGCTCTGCCTTACCTCTGCTTTGGTTTTTCTCATCTGCAAAGTGAGGATAATATTACTCCTTAAAGCTTTGTTGTGATTAAAAAAAAAATAGAAAGCATATTGTCTCAATGTCTGGAAATGCTAGACCTTACTTCTGCCCACTCAAATCTGGACTTCCCCCCTGTCCTGTATACATGAAAGACATCTCAGATAGAAATGGAAGGATACATCTCCCAGAATCCTGCTTACAGTTAAGGGGAGCCTTGTGACCAGACCTGGCCAAGGTGTGAAAGCACAGAAGGGCCAGCATGTGATTTTTCCCCTTGCAGGAACCAAGGAGACAATGTGTTCTAGATGGTGGAGCTGCAGATGATGATATTTGTGTCATCTTGGATCTCCCAGCAACCATGTGGAATCGAACCTCTGCCAAAGGGGTCCTTTCCGCATAATACAAACAAATCTTTGTTTTGTTAAGCCACCAGGATTTGAGAGTAAAATTTTCGTTAACAATTTGTCCTATTCTATCCTAATTAATATAGTGGTGCATAATACATGCACTGCAAATGTCAGTTTTCTTCTTTCTTTTGAAAATAATCTAGAAATAACCATTAAGTTTTTAAAAAGTATTAAAAGTTAGGCTGTGTATTACCCACCTGCATACAATATTCTTATTCTAGATCCTGAGACAAACTGAAAACTTCTATGATAGTTGAGAAAGCAACTATGTCCTAACATGAGCTGAAATAAAAAACCCATTCATTGTCATAAAAAAGTCACATCTCATTAAATATCACTTCTCTCATTTTTCCAAACCAAATTATTTAAGTTTAAAAATAGCATAAGGACATTGAAAAAACATATCAATGCTAAAAATTTCAGCTTGAGGTTTCGGTCGCTATTTTTTAACATACCTTCAAAGGGTTTTGACTGTCTTTACTACAAATGGAAGACTTCCAGGAAGGGGTTATTCAACAAAAAGAAGTCTTTTATTTTCTTTACAAAATGGGACATAGGAAGAAAGATCAGAGTAAATATAGTACCAACTCTTCTGCTCAAACAAATCTAAATACTTTTGCCTAGCATTCCACGTCTTGATGGCATGTTCTGATTTGCTAACCAACCTCATTTCCCATGTTTTCCCAACATAGACCTCATTTTAACCAAGTTTTCTCAAAGTCCACAAACAAGCCATATTAATTCTTTCTTTATGTCTTTACCCATTTGCCTGAAATGCCCTTCTCTCTTATTTGGAGAATGAGCTCTGCCTCTGCTTCCTGTAGTTGTACCTTGTCCTTCAGGATTCAATTTTTTTTTTATGCCTAGTAATTTTGTCTCTCTTCTAGACTATAACTGTCCAAGAACAGAAATGATATTTTTTCACACTTTGTCTTCTTATCCTCAAAGTTCTTGGCACAGTACTGAACACACCACCAGCGGTAAGTAAATTCCTCTTGGTTGGCTGGTTGTGAGCGTGTGTGGAGAAGGATGGGTAATGAAGTGTGATCAGGGAGAGTGGAAAATTGAAGTGGTTTTAGCAGAAGGTCTAACAGCTGATGTAAGAATCAGGCTCTGGAGGCAGGGGGGACTTAAAAGTCATCTTCCACAGTTTTTGTTTGTTTGGTTGGTTGTTTTATGTGGGTTTTTTTTTTTTTTAAAGTTCAGTATTACCAATTAGTGACCATTTAACAATAGGCTTATACTACAACTGCTCCATAAAGGATGAAAATATGCAGTAAGGGACTTCAGAAACTTTCCTGCTTGGAAACAGCTCTGTGTGGTTGTAGAAGGAGGCCCTGTGAATGTTACTACTATTCATATTTTAAATATCAAGTTCTGTATTCTCTGCTATTGCCTCCACTTTTGTGAAAAAGATGCATGATCACTGGATACAATGTATGTATTATGTCATTTACCCAAACTGTCACCGATGTTCTGGATGCAGCACAAAGAGGTTTTATATAACAAGTTCTGGATGCAGCACAAAGAGGTTTTATGTAACAATGACGTTTCAGTTTGTTAATAATGTGATGCATACTCATGTGAAGTGCATTGGTACCAGTAAGTAAAAAGATTTAAGATGTGTAGGTTTTCTTCAGCTGCCCGATTGTACAGCAATGTATTGTAACCTGTTAAAAATGTTATTTTCAAATATGATAAAATAGGTGCTGAATTCGATTTGATGTTCTGAAAAGGAAAGATCATATGCTCGAGTCAGGGCCATGAACTGAACTGCTTGAGTGGAAGCAGAGGAGGAATGGATTTGGAGGGAGATGTTCACTTGTGCATAGCTACTCACTGGATAAGCATTTCTTGAATGCCAGGTGCTGTTCTAGACACCAAGGAGCTCCAAGGATACCATATAGACTTGCTCTCCCCAACCACGGAGCATACATTCAATTCGGGGAGGTAGGCAATATGCAGATGAATAAATGCTTGTGATGGCTTCAAGCAGGAGTAATTTCTCTGAAGAAAATAATACAGGGTAATGTAGCAGAGTGGTGAGGGAAGGGTTTTTGAGGAAAAGCTCTCTGGGGAGGTAACATGTAAGCAAAGGCCTAGGTGACACAAAGGAGATAGCTTTTCCCAAATGTGGAGAAACAGTCTCCCTGAAAGGCCTTTAGGCTGGAGTGAGCTTGTGTTGGTAGAACAGGAGGAAGGCCAGCATGACGAAGGAGAAATGAGGGGGCAGATGAGACAGGGTAGAATGGCAGGGGTCAGATTGCAGGCCATGACAAGGGGCTTGGGTTTTAATTCTGTTAAAGATTGGAGCCCTGACTTCCTCTTTTATTGATTCTGGCAGGACCTGTGTACAGTCTGCCTCCATTGTCCACCTATTCCTAGCTGGTGGCTTCAGGTACCTGTTTTCTCCCTTTTCTTGTCCTGGCTGCTGTTTTGAGGAAATCACCATCTTTCAAACAGGAAGGCTTCATGTGTTTGAGGGATTATTTGGAGAAAACAAATAATCTGTGACTCAGCCATTTCTCAAAGTACACCTGGTCCTTCTGTGTGGCTATTTTAGCAACAAATAGAATACTAGTTATGAAACAAATCTAAATGTGAGGATGGGTAAAATGGAGTCCGCTTTAGAAGCTCCATGTCATCTCTTGTGTCAGTGCCAGGGCCAACATATGTGGCTCAGTGGATATGATACTTTGGGCCCACAATACTTTCAGGGGTACATACAGTGTTTTATTTTTTAAATAATAAAGAAATTAACTTTTAATTAAATAAGGTATTCACCTTTATACCAATGCATTCATAAAATATAATTTAAATATTTTTATGGAGGAAGGGACTTACGTAGGCAAAAGGGCCTAGGGTCCAGGGAAATCATGATGCAACCTTGTTACTGCTTATATATTAAAAGACATTAACATACTGTGTATGCTTCAAGAGAATTATTATTCTGAAAGAAATACATCTTATTTTGCTTGTTTTTCTGTTTGTTTGTTTTTTGAGACACAGTCTTGCTCTGTCACCAGGCTGGAGTGCAATAGTGCAATCTCAGCTCACTGCAAACTCCAACTCCCTGGTTCAAGCGATTCTCCTACTTCAGCCTTGAGTAGCTTGGATTACAGGCACCCGCCACCACCCCCAGCTAATTTTTGTATTTTTAGTAGAGACAGGATTTCACCATGTTGGCCAGGATGCTCTCGATCTCCTAACTTTGTGATCCACCCTCTTCAGCCTCCCAAAGTGCTGGGATTACAGGCATGAGCCACAGTGCCTGGTATGTTTTACTT